TTTTTAAACCCATGATTGATTCATTCTATATCGAATCTAAGAATGGATGATTATCCAAATTTGACCATTAATAAGCCAAGCTGTATTTCAAACTCATGATCGATTCGTTCCATACCGTGGTATCCAACCCAAATATACTACCATACTGTGGAATTTTATCTCTGACTATACAATTAATTAAAGTAGACAAGAATGGGTAAATCCGTCACTTAATTTTAGGGGATATCTTTTTTAACTTAGAAAAAAAATGGTCAGGCGTGAACTAAGCCAACGGTAACACTCCTGCCTACTGCCTATTTTACCTTAAATAAAATAGATAAGCTATTTGATTTTCTTTTTCCAACCGAGCAAACTTTAACACTATCCAGCTTTATGAAAAACAGGTATAAACAACAAGTTAAGAATACACTAAAAAATCAACGTGTCTCTTGGCTCAATTGCTAATTTGACCCATATTTTTTCCCTGAAGAACATTTTATATTAGGGGCATTTGCTTATTTGACCCTGTTTTGGACTCTAACTACCAATTTGACCCTACTTTTTAGAGTTTGCTTATTTGACCCTCCTTTTTAAAAACGAAGCTCCTCTCTGACTCTATTCCGTTTAGGTGAGTTCACGGTGTTAAGTTAGGGGTAAATAGTCCATTTTGCCCCCCATCTTCCCCATCGTCTTCAAACGCCCCATTGTCTCCATCGTCCCGCCGGAGGCGCGCGGCGGTGGCGGCAGCCGCCGGGAGCACCGGTCCGGGTACCGGACGCCCGAGCCGTCATCGCCCAAGGTCTCCTGCAAGAACGGCGCATGCCCGCTGCCGCCCCGGCCGCTGGCCGACTCCGCCGCCACCGCAGCGCGCAGCCGGCAGAAGAGCTCGCTCGTCGGGAGGGTGCTTTTCCGTCGCAGCAAGTCGAGGAAGGCGTCGCCGTCGCTCCCTTCCTCCGCGAGCCGCCGCCGCAGCCCCCTTCCTCCGCTTCCCGCCGCCGCCGCCCCTTCCCTTCACGGCCGGGCGCCGGCGCGGATCCCGCCGCCGCCGCTCCCTTCCTCCACGAGCCGCCGCCGCCCCCTTCCTCTGCTTCGCGCCGCCGCCGCTCCTTCCCTTCACGGCCGGGCGCCGGCGCGGATCCTGCCGCCGCTACTCCCTTCCTCCGTGAGCCGCCGCCGCCGCTCCTTCCCTTCACGGCCGGGCGCCGGCGCGGATCCCCCCGCCGCCGCTCCCTTCCTCCGCGAGCTGCCGCTGCCGCCGCCCCCTTTCTCCGCTTCCCGCCGCCGCCGCTCTTTCTCTTCATGGCTGGGCGCCGCGCGTGGGTTTGCCGAGCGGGCGCCGGCGGGGGTCGGCTTCACGCCGCCGCTGCTTCCTCAGAGTGCCGCCGTTGCCGCCGCGCCGCCCGACGCCATCGTCGTCGCACCGCCTGACGCCGCCGCAAGCCCACAAGCACAAGAGACACGGAGTTGTGGATAGGGTTTGGATGGATAGGGTATATGAGGGTAATTTAGGCATTACGAATAATAATCATATTTCTTTATTTTTTTAAAATCTAACCTTAACGGAGGTGTGGAAACAGGGTCAAACGGGAGCTTCATTTTTGAAAATGAGGGTCAAATTAGCAAACTCTAAAAAGTAGGGTCAAATTGGTAGTTAGAGTCCAAAACAGGGTCAAATAAGCAAATGCCCCTTTATATTATTTTTAAATCATTTAAAGCATGTGATCATTTTATAGTAATTACTTCAATACTATTATATGTTTTTGTAAATATCAACATATATATGTTTTTGTAAATATCAACATATAAAAGTATTCTTTAGTGTGATTTAGTTTTGTGTTTGTAGAGTACGGATAGAAAAAAAATTCTTTAATGTCATGTCTCACTTTTGTTTTTTTAAATGTTTTAGGTAGTTAGAATTTGTACAATTCAACGAAAACATTGCTACTAATTGTTTTATATTTTCTAGAAATTTAGGATATTAACACTGTCAAGTTACCCGTTTCCAAACATTTTTCACTGACTTCATAAAAAATAGTAAAAATTTGAATAATTATCGAAAATATTTTTATCAAAAAATAGCGGAAAATCTCTCGTTTATCTCGACAAATGGTCTACCCAGGGCTTGAACGATGGGTGAACTTTTCAAAGTATTACTCCTTTTTTTTTTCTAAATGAGCAAAGTGTAGCATTCGCTAGCTTTATGAGAAGCAACAGACTGAGGGCTACAGTACATTTTTGTGCCCCTAATTCAGAAAATATTTTCAGAATTGCAGTACCGCACAGCACATATTCACAAAATCCAGCTGTTATTTTTCTTAGTAGAAGAAAACAAGCTGCAAACTAGACAGAAGACGAATTTACTTAGCCTGAAGACAAGAATCTCTTCCCATTTTATTTGCGAATTATTCTCACAATACCACGAACTCTTAACATTACAGGGACACGAGCCATTTGTTTATTCTGTCACAATGCTGGATACCAAATACCGGGAGGAGATTGACGGAAGCCGCAGGAATGTGGCGTTTCCATGGATGCATAGGTCAAGGCTTGGCCTTGGTGGCATCGCCGCTGCCGCCACCGCCGCCGGCAATGGCGGGGCAACAGCCGGCAATGTGCATAGAGCAGCATACATTCGAAAGCAACGAGACCACAGGTCCGGCCTGTACCGTCCATGGCGCGGCCATCATCGCAAGCAGGTAAACTTGCACGACGAGGAAGACCGCGAAGACGCGGAGGTGACCGGTCGACATGGCCTCGATCAGCAGTGAGCTCGAATACCACTCTAGTTCTTCCGCGAGTACCTTGTTCTCTTGTCAAAATTAACAAGCTTCCCCTCCTATATATAGATCAACAGGGGCCATGACAACTGCATCGGCAAAGGTAGAGTAACGTATGGATAGTGCACAGATTTGGATATCCCATCCAAATCTGGGCATTAATCATCGATGTATCCAAATCTGTGCATTAATTGTCGAAATCATATGTAGTGTCGAAATCATATGTAGTAGGGATAATCTTTGTCTCTACTAGTACTTCCTAAAAAATGACTTCATTCCAAACTGTCCTAGAAAGTAGTAGTTTTTATCCTCTTACCTATTCTAGGTTTATAAATAGAAAATTTTATATCTTATCGCTTTTGAAGCAGAACATTATCTTATTGATAAGGTACACTCTGGTCTTTCATTCTTGCCACTAATTTGTCAATCATCAATGGCTAAAAGTGAAGTCTTTGTAGGGGATGGAGGAAGTAAAGAGCATCACCAAGAGTATCCCAATAATCAATTCCCAAAACTATATTTTTTTGGATCTTCTAAACTGAATATAGGAAGTGAGAAAACTATCACTTAAAAAAAAGCCTAAAATTGATTTCCTATAATGAAAAGTGGGCCCTCCCTTTAACTACCAACGGAGAAAATTAGTTTTTCTATCCCTCCCATATGGGCATTCTCCTTCATCTTGTTATTATTTTTTTTATCGGTGTGTGGTTATTTTTTCTCCGTGCACGCGAGAGAGCGATGGGGAACAAAGAATTGCACCCTTAAAGTGGGGAACGAGATATTAGGAGTTGGGAACCTAGAATATTAAGAGACAGGTTAGTGCTTATGTTGGATGCGATTTTTGACTAAAAATTTTTAAATTTGATAATAGGAAATAGAATAAGAAAGTTGTCGGTAATACTTGTTTCTGTGAGAAATTTTGGTTCATCATTCTCCGTGGCTTCGTCATCATATCAGTGTCCTCCTACCCCGTGCTCGTAGGGAGATTCAGACGCGCTGCGCGAAGCCTCGCTACTCGCTGGGCGGGGTGGATGGGCCTTCTGCAGTTCTGCCTGTCTTTTGCTATCGTGTGTGTTTATCTAAAAAAAAGTATCGTGTGTGTTTATGAACAGTTTCACGGAGGTAGGAGCCTGAAGTACAACGCTATCCCCTTTGATTTGAAAAAAAAAATCTTACCTTTGCATTTTTTTTATTATTTTCTTCTCAATTTTCGACACATGCAAATCGATTTATGATGCCAATTTTCTATCACAATTGATCAGCCATACACAAACGGTCTCACAGTTCAACCGGTGATGGACCAGCTATAGCAGCTTTATGATACCAATCACTATATATTTATACTTACTTTGTGATAGTGTCCACGTAGAAAACACAAATTTTGGTTGTTACCAGATAGTGGTAAGGATGAAAACGGTACGGAAACGGATGGAAACCATCTTTATCGATTTCGTTTTTATATTTTTTTTTTGAATCAGAAACCCCGGATACGAAAACGAAATCAAATTTATCGAAACCGAAATCGAACCGGCGCGAATACGGTAAAGAAAATTTATTAGAATAAAAAATCCCTCAAACTGAAAAACCCAATTCTCAAGTCTCAATGGTCAACAATTCATCATAAAATACAATCATAAGTCCAATTGTTAAGTTTCAACAGTACATCACAAAACACAATCTATGGAATAAATTATCTATGTTTAAGAGAGTAATGTTGTTGATAAATCCCAATGCAGGAAAAAAATATTCTTATGTAACTTCAGATTTGCATAACAAATATTTTTTAAAAAAAAATAAATAACAGCCAAACACTATGGTATTAACTATTCAGTGCTTAAAAAAATCTAGGGTATTTCAATCACACAATTTCCGGAAAGTTTTCGACCAATTCTGAGTTCTGACGGAAATTGCCCTTATCATTTTCGATTCCGTTTCCGAGAAAATATTTCTAAATTTCTTTCCGTTTCCGAAAAATTCTAAAAAAATTCCGATCAACGGATTCTGTTTTCGAAAATAGGTTTGGAATCCGTAAAATTTCCATACCATTTTCACCCCTAGTAGATAGTGGTAGCAAATCTGACACTTCACTTGCTCTCGTTGTAAATTTTGTAAATTATCCCTGAAATTTCTAATATCAAAAAACAGTTTAACCTAAATGCATAGTTACGTATAAATTCAAATAAGAAATATTTCATATAGAAACATATGTGCAACACATTTCATGAAAATTATTTTTTAAATAGATAATATTATAACATACTCTTTTTATTTGTAGGAAGCACTTGCATTTAGCTAGTATATATGCAGTTTGATCCTTCAATTATGTTCGGTTCTTTTGAAATTATCTTCTCCCGTTGTTGCAACGAGAATTTTGCTACTAAATTAAAATGAAAAAAGAAAAAAGTTTGAAAAGAAAGTTTTCTATAAGGGACCGAAGCTTTCACGAAATTTCAATCCAATATTCCAGGAGATGATCCGGTGCTCGCAGTCGCAGATCCTTTCCCTGTCTCCGAAGAAGTCGTCCCTCTCACTCCTTCCCGCTCTGCACGACTGCACCCAACTCCTGCCAATGGCGTCGGTGGCCGCTACCACTTTCCCCTCCATGGCCCGCCCCGCGGCCCGCGGGATCGTGGCCGGCGCCGCCGCCTCCACCGTGCCGCTTCCCCGCGCTGGCGTTGCCTCCCCGTGCCCGACGGCGCGCTCGCTGGGCTTCGCGGCCCGCGGGACCGACCCGCGGCTGGCGATCCACGTCTCGTCGCGGCGTCGAGCGGCCTCGGCGTCGGCGGGGAGCCGCCTGGCGCGCGCCGTGGCGACGATGGCGAAGAAGAGCGTGGGCGACCTGGCAGCCGCGGACCTCGAGGGGAAGCGCGTGCTCTTGCGCGCCGACCTCAATGTGCCCCTCGACGCCAGCCAGAACATCACCGACGACACCCGAGTCATAGCCGCCATCCCCACCATCAAACACCTCATTGGCAACGGGGCCAAGGTCATCCTTTGCAGCCACTTGGTAAGCCGTAAGACTCGCCATCCCGATACTGAATGTTTTGTTTTTAACCGAGTACTGAATGTTTTCTCAGATATAATGTTGTTTGCATACTTCCAGTTGACTAAAACTTGACAATCAAAATGGTCGGATGGTGAAATTTGTAGGCCTGACAGAGGTTCTAGGCTGTGGATTCAGATGTGGTATCGTATATGCGCTTCTATGAGTGCCCGTGGCCATTAGTGGTGCTGAATATTATACTGTACTACATTATTCCTAGATTTACTATAGATGTTATCAGGACATTACTTGATTACTTCTACATCAGGAATTGAATTATTGTATTCACGGACAGAGAAAAGTGTGCAATTCGTTCTATTGATTTTGAGATGACATGCATACACAGTTGTTTACTTTGTATTAGGAGAAATTAACCTTCTGGTTAGCATGTCCTTGGATCTGGCATTATTGATTTGATTATCGTAGATGCAGTTCATTATGCAGGGGTATGTGTAAATTGTGCTGAAATTTTTTATAATTTACTCCTCACCTGCCTTGTTGGTGAACCTTTTCTTCACATACAAAGTATCATAGATTCATAGTGCCAGTCTGATGAGTAGATTCTTATGATTCAGGGCCGTCCTAAGGGTATCACTCCCAAATTTAGCTTAGCTCCTCTTGTACCAAGGTTATCTGAACTTCTTGGCATACAGGTATCTTTCCTCTGTTACAATGTCAACTCTTTTGGTGTACGCATCTGTACTAATTTATGCTAAGAACATTTGCATTTGCATGCACAATCAGGTTCAAAAGGCAGATGATGTTATTGGTCCAGAAGTTGAGAAATCGGTCTCTGTGCTGCCAAACGGCAGTGTTTTACTGCTTGAAAATGTCAGATTTTACAAGGAGGAGGAGAAGAATGACCCAGAGTTTGCGAAGAAGCTTGCCTCCCTCGCTGATCTTTATGTAAACGATGCATTTTGAACTGCTCATAGAGCGCATGCATCAACTGAGGGAGTCACCAACTACTTGAAGCCGTCTGTTGCAGGGTTCCTTTTGCAGAAGGTTTGCATCTCTTCACTTTTTCGCTAACTCCTGAACTTGGAGTATAAACACTCACCTTTAAAAGAAGAATCATTAATTTCTGCTTCCATTTTTTGTTCCTTCAAAGAGTGTCTGAATGACTGAACCTCTCTATTTTTCTTTTTCATTTTTATAACAAAATCACAGGAGCTTGATTACCTTGTTGGAGCTGTTTCAAACCCCAAGCGGCCATTTGCGGCTATTGTAGGTGGTTCCAAAGTGTCATCTAAGATTGGAGTTATTGAATCACTCTTGGAGAAGTGTGACATCCTTCTATTGGGTGGCGGTATGATATTCACATTTTACAAAGCACAAGGATTTCCAGTAGGAGCTTCCTTGGTGGAAGATGACAAACTCGAGCTAGCAACATCTCTCCTTGCAAAGGCAAAAGAAAAGGGTGTATCTCTTATGTTGCCAACAGATGTAATTGTTGCTGATAAGTTTGCTCCTGAGGCTAACTGTCAGGTTTGTTATAGCTCATGATCAATTAATTACCAATAAATACTGGAAGCTTTTCAGTAATTCCTTCAAAAAAAGAGAAAACTTTCCACCCAAATTTGATGGCTGAAAATCTAAGCTTTGATATGCCCATGGGATTGTTCTTTAGGTTGTTTCTGCTTCTGCAATTCCTGATGGATGGATGGGACTGGATATTGGCCCAGATTCAGTTGCTGCATTCAGTTCTGCCTTGGAAACTACTTAGACAGTCATTTGGAATGGGCCCATGGGAGTTTTCGAATTTGAAAAATTCGCAGTAGGAACTGAGGTAATGATTCACTAAAATCCTGTTTGCAGTTGCATGCTAAGAAACATAAACATGAACTGTCTTCTACAGGCAATTGCAAAGAAGCTGGCTGAGCTTAGTGGCAAGGGTGTAACAACAATAATTGGAGGTAAAGACTCTGTTGCAGCTGTTGAGAAGGTAGGAGTTGCCAATGTTATGAGCCATATTTCAACCGGAGGTGGTGCAAGTTTGGAATTGCTGGAAGGAAAGGAACTTCCAGGAGTAGTAGCATTGGACGAAGCTTAGAGCCTGTTGTGCTATATATTAACCAAAATTTTGTTGTATTGAGTCAATATGAAGCTCCTCGGCAACATGTAGGAAATTGAGTGATTCAATCTTCTGTGCATTTTATCCAACGGCTTGAAATTGAGTGAATGTTTTGTAGCTTTTGGAAACCGGCTGAATAATCTGCCAAAAAATTGCTGTATACTCACACTATCTCATCACAAACATTTAGAAAGAAAAACTTCTGTCGATTAATGTTGAAACTTCTCCAAGCTACTCTTGCTGTGACAAAGTACAAATCGTTTTGCTCATCGCTGAGTATTTGAGTAAAGATGTTTCGTTTTGCCTTTTTGTTCCACGTCAGAAGAGAAGACTACGATACTTGAAACTACACGAAGGTTTTGCTTCTCGAGATTTTAGTGTGTACGTGCCAAACTAACATATATTCATTGACGTGTCATTGTCATAGAAATCTGTCACCAAAGTACTCGAAAGAAAGCTTCAGCATTACAACTTCTGTCCTTTGAGGCTTTGACATGCTCACATGCATCTCCAAGACTCCAACAGTGCCCATAGATGTAAGGAATGAGGATCTTGACTCTGACTTTATGTCAGTGGCACAACTGCAAACTGCACAAAGTCAGGGGATCTGTTTCCAGATGTAAGTGTAACTAGGAAGTGCATCACAGCATCAGTGTATTTTATAGCCTTTAGCAGCTGCTATCCTGCTATTGTTGCTGCGTGATAACTCATTTTGCTCCTTCGCTGAGTAATTAAGGATGTTCTAGTTTTGCTACGATACCCAAAATCCAAAACTATGCAAGTTCCTCAAGATTTTAGTGTGTGCCAAACTAACATAAATTCATTGTTATATGTTATTGTCAAAGAAATCTCCCACCAAATTACTCAAAATGAGCAATCGACTGTAACTTGTCCTTTGAGTGCTCACATGCATCTTCAAGAGTGCTATAGGTGAAGTACTAGAGCACTAGGAAGTGCATAAATGCATCATATGTTATCTCATAGCATTTGGCAGCTGCTATAGTGCTATAGCTGCAGTCCCCCCAAATAAAAAAACGAAATGAGCATACGCATGTTCCTGAAATGAGCATACGCATGTTCCTGCTACAAACAACGACGGCTCCATGAATCATCACTCATCAGCGTCCAAATCTCCAGCTCCAGCTTCTGTCGGTCTCAACTCATGGGTGGAATTCCTTGCCCAGTCGGGTGTGTCGATCTCAACTCATGGGTGGAATTCCTTGCCCAGTCTGGTGTTGGGAGCCAGGGTAGTGAATTTGGTGGTTGACAAGTTGAATTTATCAGATGCTACTCTAAGAAGATGGGCAGTTAGCAATAACTGTCGTTATCCTGCCTTTTCAGTCAGGCTCAGCCAGATAAACTACATTAGGAACAGGAGCAGCTCACCAGATTTCTTCAGGTAGTCACCACATTACATATCCCTTGATCTTCACGGTTCTGACAGTAGTGAAGAGACGAATGACGACATTAATGAATACTACTAATCAACAACAGTTTATCTCCAAGACATCCACAAAAACAGATAAAGCCTCACCATAGGGAGAACCATATAGACTGTTAAGAAACAAAAGTTGGATAACATGGGGATTGCATGATGCGTCATAGACTTCTACTTTTCAGTCAGCCAAAAAAACATTGCACACAGCAGCGAAGGCAGGCAAAGCAAAGGTATAATGCATGATGACTTGGGATCAACAATCTGAAGCCAGAAAGCATGTGACCAACTGAAACCCACCAAAGCATATATTCATTTCATGGTTTTCATCAAAATTTGTAAGGTATTACCGTTGCATACTGACTTAGCATCAACAATCTGTAGCCAGCAAGCATGCGAACAACTGAAATCCACCACATCATATATTTATCAGAATTCATAAGTTGTTATTGTTAAATCTTTCTCTCATTGACTCACCATATGTTAGTTTTTGCAGCTTTGCTATCTTCTTTGTACAATTAAGGATAGTAACACACATGAGGTTCCCCCATTATTATCGTCATGCTTTTGACTAAAATATAGTAACCACTAATACTTGATAGAAGAAAATCTAGAAGTCATCGTATGACAAATAACGTCCAAGGTCAAGCTTTTTGAAAGATTTTAAAAGAATGAGAACTAGTCTGAAGAATAAAAGAACCATAATATAAGTTACTACCTCTATTGATTATTGAATCTTTGCATGTTCAAAACAGATTGATACATCATGTGATTATTTGCAATTCAATAAAGTAATCAGCAGAGACGTAGCATAGCACATTTTTGTAGGGCAATGACTAGATTTAATGCTTGTCAATTTCAACAAGTTTGTTCTTCCTATTGAGGTGATGAAAATCAGAATGAAATTTAGTGCCTTTTTATAGTCCTAACAATCATACCAGTGGGTGATCTTTTACAACTAGATACAGCCAAATACTCTCCACCACTAACAATATGATATCTCCAACCCTGCCTTAAACCATCTGTACCTTCCAAATAGTGTAATGTGTAAAATCAACCCTGCCCTAAATCATCTATACCTTCCAAATAGTGTAATGTGTAAAATCATTTTTTTTATCACAGTGCATTATTTATCTAGAACAAGTTTAAGAATCTTTACAAGTGTCATTTAAACCCAGTCGAATATAGCACTGACAAATGAGAACTACTCCTTACACTAGTATAAAGAGAAGAGGAAAAGAAACCCGTATATCATAAATTAGTCATGAATGACAGGAAAATAATGTAAACAGAGACACAATAATGCAAAAGAAAGAGAATTTTCCTTATGCATCTCTGTTCCATTGCATAGACCATTCCATATTATTACTACTTACAGATTACAAAGCATCATAGTGAACTAGATAGAAGAGCACAAAACAAATCCTACTCTCTTCTTTAGAGCAAGATCCAGCAGTTCTTACCCTTTATGCATCAAGGTTCTCCATCTGAATATTGCTCTTGAGAGGCACGTATTCACCAAGGTACCCTCCGAGATGCTCATACAATGCGCTTCGATCAATCTGCTGGTTGTGGAAGGCCTTGCAAGCGTAGTAAAACACGCTCTGCACGAGTAGCCCCAGCAAATTGACGCAGACAAGAACAGACACCAGCACAGCACCAGCAAGCACCCGACCGGGCAAGCTCAGGCCAAGGCTCCCCTCCTCGCCGCGGCCCTTGACTACGGCCGCGCGGAACAGCACAGCGGTAACGCCGCAGGCGGCGAAGTAGGAGACGACGAGCACGCCGGCCGTGCGGGTGCGCCCTTGAAGCAGTTGCTTGCTTTTTGTCATGGCGGCGAGACCGCAGAGCGGCTCGAGCACGGAGATGACGCTGGCGAGGTGCCACAATGCGGAGATGTAGACATGGATCGCGAGGAAGACGAACACGACGACGACAAGGATGAGGACGAAGGGGAGGGAGGGCGGGGAGGAAGATGGGGCGAAGAGCAGGAGGAGGAGGAGGACGGTGAGGGCGAAGACGAGGTGGTAGGCGAGCATGAGGAGCGAGACCCAGAGGAAGGTGCGGAGGAGGCGCGGGAGGATGGGCGGCAGCGCGGCGAGCGAGGAGGCGATGGATGCCGGCTTGGCGGCGTAGAGCGAGGCGACGGTGAAGACGGCGGCGGCGGTGGAGAGGAGGGAGAGGGTGAAGAGGAGGATGAGGTAGAGGAACTGGTACGCGAAGAGCTTGAGCCACTGGGCGGAGTCGGAGGAGGAGTAGTCGCCGTTGGCGCCCTGGAGGCGGAGGATGATGGGGTGGGTGAAGAGGGAGTGGACGAGCACCGCGGCGGAGAGCGGGAAGACGAGGCCCGCGGTGAGCAGCGCGAAGGTGCGCGGCGCCGCGCGCGGGATCGAGGCGGAGACGCGGACGAGGTCGGCCGCGCCCAGCGCCGCGAGGTCGTGCGTCGCAAGCTCCATCGCCTCGGCGGCTCGGCCCGCGGTGCGGCCGCTTTGGGGTTTCACGGGGATTTGGCGATTGCCCGTTTTTCTTCGGTCGTCTTGTGGGAGGGGGGATTCGGGTGGACGCCGCGGCGGTGATGTGGTAGGGGGAAGGCAGGCACGGTCGGTGGGCTTTGGCCGCGGCCGCGTGGGCGAAGAAGGGGAAAGCAAGATGAGAGGAGGGACGGCGAGGCAGGGAACTCGGGCGAGAGGGATGGATGGGGGGAATCCACCGTGGAAAGCTCGTGCCGCCCCCGCGTGGCGTGCCGAGCGTGTTTTGTACTCGCGCGGCGGCGACACGAGCAGGCTGTTCGGCAACACCGGATCGGCCTGGACGCAGCGTGTGCCGCGTGTTGTCAATGTGGTTGGGCCATAACGATGGTGGTAATCTGCCAATCTATCGTGTCTTTTAATACACAGGAAGGCCGGGCCGGACCCAGCTTGGTTGACCGCGGGTACTTCGGCATGAAGCATCTGGAAATGGAGGGTTTCCTTTTACTTTTTTTTTCTAAAGGGCATGTTTAGTTTCCAAAATATTTTTTCTAAAAACATCACATCGGATTTTTGGACACATGCATAAAGCATTAAATATAGATTTTTAAAAATACTAATTACATAGTTAGGGAGGAAATCGCGAGACGAATCTTTTGATTCTAATTAGTGCATGATTAGCAATAAGTGCTATAGTAACCCACGTGTGCTAATGACAGATTAATTAGGCTCAAAAGATTCGTCTCGAGGTTTCCAGTCGAGTTATAAAATTAGTTTTTTTTATTCGTGTCCGAAAACCCCTTCCGACATCCGGTCAAACGTCTAATGTGACATTCAAAAATTTTCTTTTCGCGAACTAAACAGGCCTAAGTATAGTAGTATCTAAACAAGCCAAATAGTTAAAATTCAGAAAATGGATAGCTATTCCCGTGATAATCAACGGAATTTGGTGGAAACAGACGGGGAGTGTTTTGGCCCTCCGTAATCTTTGTTAACTTGTTGTCTTTGCACAGTACATTGGTAGAGTTACAGAGACCAAAGCTATTCAGCAGATGACAAAGCCAGGTGAGGTGACGAAACACCGAGCGGGCATTCTCGTAGCTTGCTGACCGGAGAGCCAAGTGATCACAAAGCTTCATGGTTACTAATGTACATTCAGTTTCTTCTCATGTTGCAAACATGTCTTCGTATGTGGAAGTGAGCGCAAAGGAAGTAGACACATGCCAATCATTTGTGTGTCCTCACAGCAGCCACCGATACGTATTCGTTAAGCAGGCCCTTGTATTGTGCCTCCGCCTGCTGAATTTTAAGGCGTAGTTGATGTTCCTGACCAGTACAACAAATAATTTCATCAGATTTGTCAATTGTTGTGTGGTTTAGCCAAGATGCACTGGTCAGCACTAATGTGTTTGAACTCATTGCAATGTCAAATATAACCTTGAGCAAAAGATCCATCTACGCTGGCTCAAATTCCAAGCACCTGCAAATGGAGAGAAAAAAAACAATGAAATCCTGAGACTTTTAGGCCAAGATTATTATCTGGCAAAAGTAATTAAATTTTATGCTCTTTGGACTTACTCTTGATTCTTGAAGGAGCATTTTATGCTCTAGCTTCAAGTAATTAAATTCATTCAACTCTCGTTCTCCCATATATTGGCACACCTATATCCAAAGTCATCAGCTTTCAATACACATATAGACTATGATGTTAGATAAAAAAAGTATTATCTGAGAGTCAATTGGGCCAATTATAGAATTAATAGAAAATAAATTATTTAGAGTCCAACTCAATAAAAGGGCCCTTGTTGGATTTGATTCCAGTTTCCTTTTGTGGGCTCCATGAATGGAATAAGTTCATTTCAGATCCCTTAACTTGACAACGAGTTCGATTTTCGTCCTTGAACCAAAAACCGAATACAACAAGTCCCTCAACTATCAAAACTTGTGTAATATATATCCCATGGCAGTATACCAGGTAGTTTTGTCCGACGTGACAATCTAAGTCAGTGTGGACCCCATATGTCAAGCACCCTCACCCGTTCTTCCCTCTCTCTCTCTCTTTCTCTCTACATATGAGACCCATGCTGACTAAGATTGTCACGTCGGACAAAACCATCCGGTATACTGCCGTGAGACCTATATTGCACCGATTTCGATAGTTGAGAAATCCGTTGTATCTGGTTTTTCTTTTCAAGGATGAAAATGCAAGTCGCTGTCAATAAGGGACTTAAAATAGACTTACTCCAAAAAGAATTCATCTAAAAATACTGGTCCGTCAAGCAACTGGATGGGCCTGTAGTGATTCCGGTTGCTTGACAGCTCGACCGGCAAGCAGCCCAACCTGTTCGAGCCGCCGCAGATACCCGACCGAAGAACCAACCGGTCGCCTCCCCTCACCTGCCCAGCTGCCCTTGCCCCGCCCAAATTCCAAACCGAGCTCACCAGCGCCGGCGCCGGCGCCGGCACCGCGGCACGCCGTGCCCTTGCTCCCCAATGTCCCATCTCCAGCACCTCGCCGCCGGCGAACTCGTCACCGCACTCCGCGGAGCCTCCTGCCCTTCATCAGCCCTCCGTCTCTACTCCCTCATCCGCATCCACGCCCGCCCCTCCGATCCCGCCCTTTTCGCCTGGCGCCCCGCCGTCCTCGCGCTCAAGCCCCTCTCGGCAGCCGCCTCCCTCCCTCTCCTCTCCCACTTCCACGCCCACCTCATCAGGTCCAACCTCCTCGCCTACCCTCACGTCGCCTCCTCCCTCCTACGCGGTTACTCACTCCTCTCACCCGAACACGCCCACCACCTGTTCGATCAAATACCACCCTCCACCTGCAACCTGGTCGTCGTCAACGTCATGCTCGGGTCCCTCTGCCGATCCTCCGATCTAGCTTCCGCGCGAGCCTTCTTTGATGGCATCCCTGACAAGGACGTGGTTTCTTGGTCAACCATGCTTGCCTGTTATTTCTCCCACAGTCGCGTAGCCGAAGGCCTTGCTTTCTTCCGCACAATGACATTTACCACTCAGCTTGCTGCAGATTATGTGATGCTCGTCACCGTTCTCACGGGTTGTGCATCAGCTGGCTTGCTGCCAGTGTCCTGCAGGGCCATTCATGGATATATTGTCCGGCGCGGAATCACCTTCACCATGCACCTTGGCACGGCTTTGATTGATTGCTATGCCAAGGCTGGCCGCCTTGATTATGCATCCCGTGTGTTTTGCCGAGTCCCTTTGAGGAATGTGATGCACTGGACCGCAATGATTTGTGGGTCGGCAGCGCATCTTGGCAGCGAAAAGGCCATCCAGCTGTTTGAGGAGATGTGTCGGAGTGGAGTGCAACCAAATGAGATGACATTCACAGCTGTTCTCAGTGCATGCGGGCAAGCTGGACTGGTGGATCAAGGGAGGAGGTTCTTTAAACTTATGGTTGACACATATGGCTTTGAGCCGACTATACATCACTATGGCTGCATTGTTGATCTCTATGCAAAGGCTGGGAAACTGGAGGATGCTTATGAGGTTATCAAGACCATGAGAATGGAGCCAAATATCATCATTTGGACTTCATTGTTAGCAGCATGCAAGAAGTTCAAAAATTTTTACATTGCAGTGGAGGGAATAGAGAAAGTCTTGTCAATGGAGATATCAGAAGAAAATGGTGGATTATATGCACTGATTTCTGACCTTTATGCTATGGGTGGACAGTGGGAAGATGTGCTAAGGGTTAGGAGTTTGATGGAGGAACGTAATGTGTGGAAGATCAGAGGGTCAAGCTCCATCAAGGTGGGCGAACCCCAGGACTTTACTTTTCCTGCAGTCAGTTGATTTTTCATATGGTTTCCACAACCTGGAAGTTTTGGGACAGAATGGAAGGACACAGCCTCTTTTGATTGGCTTCACTGCTGAAGTATTCAGAGGATAACTTTACATGCTACTTGGTGAAATCTGTTTGGGGGCATCAGTGGAATGAATACAAGTTTTTACCCGATCTTTTTTCACTGCTGCGTTGAGTATTTGAGATAATCGATGATATTTGGATATGGTTGATCAGGATGATAAACTGGCATATTAGAAGATCATCTGTTTGATGCATGGAGATTACTCAGGTGCATATGAATATATGATCAATTGATGCTTCAAACAAACTAATGAGTATGAGTTGCTCGATATCCTTGTCTTCTGGCTAGTTTACTATGTGTCTAGGTAGTTGTGCCATCACAATTATCTGATTTTGTACTGGTTTTTCCTCTTGTTTATATGGATCACAGGGGATAACAAAGGATATCTCTGAGTAATGGTTTTCATGACTTCTTCCTAGCTGATTTGGCTTTCCAGACACAACCGAAGACAGCTCAACAATTGAGTTTCAGCTCCTTACTTTCATTAAAACTCTACAGTTGATCAATTATCCAGTCTGTTTTGTCGCTAACAGTTTACAAGTCCTGCATCTTCAATAAATTCTGCAAGCTTGTATCCAGGTGACATTTTTCGTAGATTGCAGTTTTTACATGTTATACGGCAAAAAAAAATATTCCTGTTGTGCTCATTGGAAATTCTTTTAGGATCAATGTCCTGGAGTTGCTGTACATTGCTATATCACTTGTATTTGAGTGGATAAACTGTTGGCTAATGTAAAAAAAAAAGCCTTCTGTGAAAACAAATTGATGGAAATCATGAAACTGTTCTGTGTTGCAATGCTTGCAGTATATCCCCCCGTTAGTGCAAAATCATTGCCAAGATAAAGATAATAATAATATTTGAGCAATAGTATTGTCACTGGCAAACTTTTTCATAGTACACTTGTGAGGTGGGCCATAAGCAACTGATACAATAGTCATTAGCATATTCCATTCAAAAATAGTCATTAGCCTATCAAAGTACATTACCTAGTTAGAAAAAGGAAGGATCATACGCTAGTTGGTACATAATCAATTAATGGTAACACGACTGGCCAATGCCATTTGGATCTTCAATTAACTATGTTTGGCAAATCACAACGACGCGACGTGCACGATCGATGGCGTGACGTCCTAGAGTTTGTTCTATGCCAGTTGACAAAAACTGACGGAGAACGTCCACGCTAAGTCACTTTTTAATCTTGATCTTAGTAGCTGATGAAATCTTTTCGGCACGTGCATTTGATATATAGTAGGAGTATATACCAAACGAAGCTGTACTAAGAAACAGATACAGTGTCTGAAATATCGAGAGAACTAGCAAATAGTAGTAGCAACCAAAAGAACCCTTATTTTAAATCATCTATGGTATCGGTGTAATATGTCAAGACAATTTAGCAATAATCGTGTCCTCGCAGCGAAGCAATTGCCCAACGAGAAAACCATTGGCTGCCGGGAACAAAAGCAGTCGAACCGAGCGGCAAATTAATGTATGCCCGGCTTGTTGCGCCTAACATTGTCATGAACCAGTACTGCTGCCCCCATGTTCCATCCGCCCATCACCCATGCGTTTGGTTGGAACACCCTAAAGCCGAAGCCACACCGCCACACGGTTCGGCCACTTGATCACCCCCATCAACTGCCCGCCGATGGCAGCATGGCGCAGATACACTGATACACACAGGGTTCCCCCTTTTCGCCGTTTGACAGGTAACAATCCTGTGAACAAGACATATTCTCGGGCATTTTTCCGGTGTACATGTGAAAAGCTATTACAAATGCAGGAGGGATTGCAATCGCGCGCAAGCGACGTGGTTGCGGACAGCGAAAGGAATTGGCCGCTCCGCCCGTTCCCGCCACGCTCGCCGCGACGTACAGCATATCCCTCTCGATTCCCTCGTCCCCCATATATATTTCCCTTTCAGAGAGGCGCAGATATCACCGATGGCTCCGCGCCCAGAAGCGTCCGCCGCGACGTCTCCCCGTTAATTGTCATCCACATTGTTGGAGGAGGAGCCGTGTGCCCGTGTGTGTGTGTTCACGTCGGCGTACGTGTTTCATCGCAGTGTGCCCGTTATAACGGCCTCGTCTCACCAGTGCGCGCGCGGCCGGGCGCGCGTATAGGTGTAGAGCCAGCCACACGCTCACACGTACTCCCGTGCAGTTGCCAGTTGATTGGTTCAGCGTGGCTGCGCGCGGCGCGGGGCGGACGGGCAGACGCGATCGACGACAGGCACCGGCTCCGGCTCCATGGCGCGCCTCCTTCTTCTGCTCGTGCTCATCGGCGGCATCTGCGCCGCCGCCGCGGCGAGCTCGCCGCTACTCCCGGCGGCGGAGACGATGCGCGTGAGCTTCGCGGGGAAGTCGGAGTTCAGGACGGTGAACAGGAAGCCGCTGGGTACGTGCCTGGACCCGAGCCCGTACCTGGAGATCAGCGTCAGCACCGGCGGGGCGCCGCTCCCCGACGAGGCGTTCCTCAACGTGACCGTCTCCGGCGTCCGCAGGCCCGACCGCTCCCACTGGCTCGCCATGATCACGCCTTCAAACTCCAGGTGAATGAGAAAATGCATGCAAATCGATTTCATCATCACTGTAAACGTCTCTGTTTGAGTTTGATTGGATCGATCTCTTCCTCTGGTAATTAATGCAACTGTGTGCGAGTAAATTAATTCATGGATGCGCATGCAGTGTCTTGGGGTGCCCTCTGAACGGTGTCAATTACATCGAGACAGGTGATCTGGCGAGCCTCCCTCTTCTGTGCCACTACCCTGTCAAGGTGAGTTCTTGCATGCAAAGACAACCGCTTTTTCTATGCTCTTAATTAACTTGATCTAATTTAGCTACTAGTAGCAGTTTGCACCAGTAACTCTTCCACTGTAGTAGGAGGAGGATTTAGTTGCCACACACCAACGTAACCCTGATCAAGCTTGTCGATCAGATCTAGTAGTACGTATATAACGTGACATACGACACTTGCCATATTAAATCCTTGATGATGTCCACCATGTCTGAAGATTTCCTTAAATTGGTTGTTGAGTCCAAGGAAAGACAGCGGCGATAGCAAAATTAATTGGGACATTTCGACAACGACGTGCTAATCAGATCGTTAGTTGCTACACGGTGCAGCAATGCCTGTGCTATATAAGCCTCACATGAATGATCATTCGTGAAGCAATCCTATTTGTCAAGAGCGTCAGGGGCGGCGGACCTAGTTGTCATGGGTCTACATCTGTACACCTAAATACTTTAACAAAAAATTCCAGTATGTATCATGTATTTATACTATGGTTAGATCTAAATAATTGTGTGGTTCCCTCCACCAGAAACACCAGTTTCAACCCAACCAAATCACATGTGGAACTGCCTCTGTTTTAGTGTTTGCTCATAGGCCTCAACTTTTAAATTAACCAATGGTTTCTTGATTAGCTTTATTTTTGAACGAGGATCTTGCTTGATTTACTTTATACACTCATTATGAAATTCCTGCGTTCTCCACTGTCAAGCGTGCTAATGACCTATCGTCAACGTCTCACATGCATGAAGTATATATATATATGGTAACGGCACACACACATGCATGACAGCATGACTCAAATCAGACAACCTCGTAATATCTACTCTAAAACTACCTCAGTCCACACTTTATTCAAAAAAAAATTAATTCTTACCTATAAATCTGAATATAACGTTATCTAGGTTCATTTTTTTTTCTGAGCGAAAAAAATGCCCATACTTATCCATGTTCATAGTTTAAATTTGTTTATTCTTTTTAAGATAGAGGGAGCACCTTATTTGGGTAGAATTTTGTTAATAGAGTCATCAGCAACAACTAGAAAAGTGCTCATGCTTTGTTATAGGTAAAAGACAATACATTACAAAATGCTATAGACAATATATATATTTTTTATCAAATATGCATGTTACTATCACTTCATTGCTTATTTAAATATATATATATTCACTTGTTTGAAATAAATACTGGACTATTCCATAATATCATAAATTATCAATGGCTCATTTATAAAAATTGCAAAAACAAAGGGTGAGTTGGTCGTGGCATATTCAATGTTATCATCATCAGTGGCTTCTAAAGAAGTATATACTCCATCCATTTTATATTATAAGCCGTTTGATTCTTTTATGAAAATTCTTTAGGTTTAATTAAGTTTATAAAAATAATTAGCAACATCCACACCACTAAATTAGTTTTATTAAATTTAATACTGAATATATTTGATACGTTGTTCGTTTTGTATTGAAATGTATTGCTATTTTTTTTCTATAAACTAGCATAGTGGCCCGCGCAAATTGCGCGGCTAGCATCATTATATTTTCTTTCATATAATAGCATATATATTTTCTCAATGTATTATTCAAATATATTAGAATGGCAACATAATTTAAATTTTGTACTAACTTTACGAAACTATTAATGTGTAATATTCATATTGTATTTTATATGCGTGTTAGTTATTAATAATTTTAAATATCAAATTTTAGTTATTTGTAAATTATATTCCTATATGGACTCTAGACTCGTCTTTCAATATTTCTTTTCTTTAATTCCGATTTTTTGTTTTCTGTGAATTGTATTTCTATATAAACTCTAGACTCTTCTTTCAATATTATTTATTTTTAATTCTGAATTTTTATTATTCTAATTGTATTTTTATGTGAACTCTAAACTCATCTTTCAATATTCTTTAATTTTTAATTTCGAATTTCAGTTACTTCTAAATTATATTCTTATATTGACTTTAGACTCTTCTTCCCATGTTTTTTTAATTTCGAATTGTAGTTATTTGTAAATTGTAGTATTTTTATATGAACTCTAAACTCTACTTCTAATTTTATTATGTTTATTCTGAATTTTAGTTAGTTTTAAATTTCAATATGGACTCTATACTCTACTTCTAATATTTCTTATTTTTAATTCTGAATTCCTATTATTTCTTAATTGTATTTCTATACGGACTCTAGTCTCCTCTTCCAATATTCCTTATTTTTAATTCCGAATTTCTATTATTTCTTAATTATATTTCTATATGGACTCTATACTCTACTTCTAATATTCCTTATTTTTAATTCCGAATTTCTATTATTTCTTAATTCTATTTCTGCATGGACTCTAGACTCCTCTTCTAATATTTCTTATTTTTAATTCGGAATTTCTATTATTTCTTAATTGTATTTCTATATGGACTCTACACTCTACTTCTAATATTCCTTATTTTTAATTTCGAATCTATTATATTATTAAAGGAATAGAAAAAGGAGCCTCCACGTTCGCTCTCATGGCCTAGAAATTCTCACATTAATCGGAAATATAATAAGAAAATAATAGAAATTAGGAATTAAAAATAAGGAATATTAGAAGTAGAGTATAGAGTCCATATAGAAATACAATTAAGAAAAAAAAAGAAATTCGGAATTAAAAATAAGGAATATTAGAAGTAGAGTATAGAGTTCATATGGGAATTTAAACTAACTAAAATTCAGAATAAACATAATAAAATAAACTTATTTTTAATTCTGAATTTTAACCTTTTCTAAATTGTATTTCTATATGAACTCTGTTTTTCTTTTTCTCCGATTAATATGAGAATTTCTAGGCCGTGAGAGCGAACGTGGAGGCTTCGTTTTCTATTCCTTTAATAAGTTAATAGATTAGTTAAACTTTTGACTAAGAAAAAAAATCAAATAATTTATAATATGAAACGAAGGGAGTAGTTGCGATCCAGCCAAAATTTTAACGGGGCCGGGCGTGCAGGCCCAGTACCTGACAAGCGACCCGGGCTACCTGGGCTGCAAGGCCTCGGCGTGCCAGAAGCGCCGCGCGTCCGGCACCTGCAAGGTCCGGACCTGCGCCGCCACGCTGGCGTTCCACGTCATCAACTTCCGCACCGACGTCGAGTTCGTCCTCTTCTCCGGCGGCTTCGCGACGCCGTGCGTCCTCAAGCGCTCCGGTGCGCTCCCGTTCGCCAACCCCGCCAAGCCGCTCCACGGCCACCTCTCCAGCGTCGACTCCAAGGCCACCTCGGTGAGCACATCTACTATCATCCAAAGCTTTTCCACCTTGCTTTTCTGCAGCTGCAAATGGAGTAATTTGTTGCATTTCTGTATGATGAATCAGATGAGGCTTACGTGGGTGAGCGGAGACGCGAGGCCGCAGCAGGTTCAGTACGGGACGGGCAAGACTGCTACCTCTGTCGCCACGACATTCACTCATAAGGACATGTGCAGTGAGTAGTAATTAATCATGTGTTCATCACTGGGAAAATGCAATGTAAAAGAGGATAATTCAATATCATGTTTATTATCTCAAATGGAATGAAAATTCCAATGTGCAGGCATCGCCGTGCTGCCGAGTCCTGCGAAGGACTTCGGGTGGCATGATCCGGGTTACATCCATTCGGCACTCATGACCGGTCTCCAGCCATCTCAGTCCTACAATTACCGTTACGGAAGGTACAGGTTCCCCCCTTCTTTTTTCACTTTTTTGCTGTAAAAATTAGCAGTTGTCACTTGTCAGTAACATCCTCAATACGGGCTTGCCGCTGATGTGCAGTGATTCCGTGGGTTGGAGTAACACAACCGAATTCAGAACCCCACCAGCTGCAGGTTCAGGCGAGCTGTCCTTCGTGATCTTTGGTGATATGGGGAAGGCTCCACTGGACCCATCAGTGGAACACTACATTCAGGTACACAAAATCCTACATTCCTGCAAATGTTCCATTTTCATTAGCAGCTCGTACATTTCCGCGTGGTATATTTGCTCTGAGACAACGATGATGATTGGTGTTAAACGATGCAAAATTTGCAGCCTGGATCGACCTCCGTGGCCAAAGCAGTAGCTGCAGAGATGCAAACCGGAAAGGTCGACTCGATCTTCCACATCGGAGACATCAGCTACGCCACGGGCTTCCTTGTCGAATGGGATTTCTTCCTTCACCTCATCACGCCGCTCGCGTCGCAGGTGTCCTACATGACCGCCATTGGTAACCACGAGAGGTGATTCCTGCACCCAGAACACTGTGCATATTCTAGGTGTGGATGACAATGAGCTGATGATGCTTTCATCAGAGACTATGCAGGATCTGGATCGGTATATCCGACGCCGGATTCAGGCGGCGAATGTGGAGTCCCCTACGAGTCCTACTTCCCCATGCCTGCTTCCGGTAGGGACAAACCATGGTATTCGATCGAGCAAGGGAGCGTTCACTTCGTTGTGATGTCCACCGAGCACGAGTGGTCAGAGAAGTCAGACCAAGTAAGTGATCAAAGTCACCTTTCTATTCCTTTTCACTTATTCAGGAGTACATCGTTTACATGTTCATGTCACTCTCCAAATTTTGTTGTGTGAGTAGTACAATTGGATGGAAATGGATTTGTCATCGGTTGATAGATCAAGAACACCATGGGTGATCTTCATTGGGTAAGCTAAATGATCTTTTATTCTTCTAAAAAATATATGTTTGCCTAGAGATCAAACAAACAAAAGATATTATTTTCTGAAACAAAACAGGTAAAAAAATATGTTCCGTACTCCAGAATGCAAATTGTCTGATACTAGAAAGAATTAACACTTGTCACTTCAATGACCGCTGCAGGCATAGACCAATGTATTCATCCAGCAGCGGTATTCCGCCCAGCGTTGATCCGAACTTCGTTTCCTCTGTTGAGCCACTCTTGCTTAACCACAAGGTAAGATTGGAATGCAGCTTTAGTCACACTTAAATCTACCTTCATAAGTTCATAGAATACTAGACTATAGAAGGATGTTTTGATTTATGATGAACAGGTCGATTTGGTCTTCTTTGGCCATGTACACAACTACGAGAGAACGTGTGCGGTATACCAGGGCAATTGCAAAGGCATGCCAAAGAAGGACGCAAAAGGAGTTGATACCTACGATAACAGCAACTACGCCGCACCTGTTCATGCCGTTGTTGGAGCAGGGGGGTTCAACTTGGATGGCTTCCCTAAGATTGGTGTAAGAGTCATATCTACACCTTTGTGTATGTTGTTCTCCTAGGCAATTATAGACATCGTTTCAAACTACATAGTATGGTGGTAACAAATTGATATACTCCTAATTGATAAGAACGCATTAACGCCTGAAAACTCACATACTGTTAAAGTGACAAGCTTGTCTTTCTGTTAAATTGTTCAGCTGCATAGCTGGAGCTTATCAAGGATTTCAGAGTTTGGATATGCCAGGGTACATGCGACGAAAACTGATATGTTGGTTCAGGTCAGTCCACATATATATATTCTACCTCGGTTTCTGTTAACACGCTTTTTAAATTACTGAACGGTGGGTTTTGTGTAAAAACTTTATATATATAAGTTCCTTTAAAATATAAAATAAATTTATTTTTTAAGTTTGCAACAATTAAACTTAATTAATTATGTACTGATGGTTTTCTTGTTTTTCTTACTTTAACTTTATCTTCATCTTTATTAGAAAAGAATATCACCTGTCTTAACTCTCAATTCTGTCTCTTGTCTAAATTAAATTCTCATAATGAAATATTCCAACTGGTAAAATCATCATTGCTCACAAGTACTTCCTCCGTTTCACGATATAAGTCATTCTAGTATTTCCCACATTCATATTGATGCTAATGAATCTAGACATATATATATTTGTCTAGATTCATTAGCATCAATATGAATGTGGGAATATATGTCTAGATTCATTAGCATCAATATGAATGTGGGAAATGCTAGAATGACTTACATTGTGAAACGGAGGGAGTAGTAAAATAACTATTGCATGGAATGATTGATTTTTTTTTAAAAAAATGCTACTATCTGAGTAAGCAATGGTGCATGGCTGCATCTCAAGTCTGAACAACTGTTACTCTCTTTTTTCAGTTTGTAAACTCGAACACGTCGGCAGTCCAGGACCAATTTAGGATTGTGAAGGGAGCCAGATGATCCAACCTTACAAGCAACTTGATATTCACAAGGAGAAACAGTAGCTACTTTTTTTTATTTGTTAGTATATATAGCTAGGTACGCTGTAAATAGATGCTGAATTACACACATAAATGCTATAGACTATCAGGCTGTGTACGCGGCTACAATAAAATTAATACTATCATTTTTCTCCCTGATAGTAACATTTACTCCATCGCAAACCTTTGCCTGCTAATATTTCAAGAGTAGAGGGATATTAGATAAACAGTTTGAAGTTGAGGAGTGTGTTGTAGACTTGTTCCATGTGATGATCACTTAGGTATATGAAACTTGTAAAATACGGATCTAGCTCTAATCTTGGTTTAGTGTATCACCCAATTTTCAAAGTGCAGATAAGGCAGCTCGTGCACTAACATCGTTATCCATGGTGATTGGAATTTTGTATTTAGGCTCTTCCACTATAGTATGCTCCTGAATCGATTCCTACCACTCCCAAATCGACCGTTGGTAGAGGAGGTGAAGAGACATTGATTAGGGTAGTGGCAATAGGAGGTCCTTGAAGCCAACATAGATGGTGTAGTAGGATGAGAATGATCCCACGAGTCCGACGTGGCGTGATTGTCTTATTTAAATCGTCTTTGTTCCCCCTCTCTGGCTACAATCTACTACAAGAACACAACTTGCCACCAACAATGGATTCACAAGTTTTGCCCCTTGTTCGCCAGTCCTTGCTGTCCCTCCACAACTAGGGCTGTCAACGAGCCGAGCTCGAGCGAACTCGTCTGCCTAGGCTCGAGCTCGATACAAGCTCGAGCCGAGCCTATAAAATGTCGAGTTTTCTAACAGGCTCGGCTCGAGCTTGACCAAGCTCAAGCTCGACTACCGAGCTTGATTTTTAAGTAAAGCAATATATATTTCAAAAATAATCTTTAAAAAAATAATTAATTTCTAGTTCATCATATTAGTAGAAGAGGAAAAAAAAGAATAAAATAAATATATGATGTCAATATAAGGCATACAAATAACATATTTGATATCCTAATCTATTAAATAACAACAAAAATCATATATTACTAGGCTCGTTGGAAGCTCGAGCTTCGCGAGCTTAGGAAGAGGCTCGGGCTCGGCTCGTCTGGAGCTCGAGCCGAGCTCGAGCAGCTCGCGAGCCTCGAGATTTTTTGACAGCCCTATCCACAACCACTATAGTATGCTTTGCTCCACTGCTACCCTAACAGCCACTGAAGCGTTACATTCTGTCGCTGCTCTAATACGATTCAACAGCGGTAGGGATCGATTTATGAACGCACTATAGCGAAGATGCTAAAATACAAAATTGTCGCCACTGTGGACAACCACGCCAACGCATGAGCTGCGGCATTTGTACTTTGGACCTCGACTTATGTAAAGTATGGATTTCATATGACATAGGAAACTTTTATGGTATCATAGAGACTTTGGAAAAGATGTACAAATTTGTCCTGATATCAAGTATGTTAAACCTGCACGGTGACATCTAAGAACCTATAATTAAAGAGCAATTTTACGGTCCTTAAGGAGGTAACATGAGGTACCATTTTTTCTATTGTAAATTTAGTACCTCTTGGTACCTTGGTACTAGGTACCTAGGTACCAAAGGTACTAAAATTTGGTACCTCATGGTACCTGCTCAAGAACCGTAGAATTGCTCATAATTAAAACCGATGTAGATTGATGTACGGTTGATAAAATGGGTTGGAAATAAAATGATTTTATTTAGTTGTTGTTCATGTATGGAAACTGCAAGTCTACAACAACGTGCCAGTTGAGAAATTTAATAATTGGAGAGGCATGGCTGATTCTGGTGTATATTCTCCATTTCCTCGGTAAAACCCACACCATATCGCCATGCTTAACAGACTCTCAGTTACATACGCTGAAGTCTGGAAGCATAAGGTTAAATCCATATAGTCATTGGCTTTGGCTCCTTTTTGTGCTTTGCCGTATCTAGATGGCTGGCATATCGGTACGGTAAAACCAACGCTTAAGAATTAGCTGCGCACCTAATAAAATAAGTACTGAAGCCATGAATCTACAATAGTAATTGTCCTTTTGCAAACCATGATACTTACATAACCCCAACCAACCATCAGCATTCCACAGTCGTCCATCCATGCACACAGCACACGGGAAGCGAGTCACAACTGACACATGCATTGCAACAAGTACACACACCCTTACCATATGGCAAGGCTGTTCGCCGTGTGCTTCGTTATCCTCAGTTTCGCCATGGCCGCGGCGGCAGCGAGGCCGGCAACGTCGTCGACGGCGGACGCTCCAGCGACGAGCGGCGACTGCAGCAGCGACGTGCAGGACCTGATGGCCAACTGCCAGGACTACGTGATGTTCCCGGCCGACCCGAAGATCGACCCGTCGCAGGCTTGCTGCGCGGCGGTCCAGAGGGCAAACATGCCGTGCGTGTGCAACAAGGTCATCCCGGAGGTCGAGCAGCTGATTTGCATGGACAAGGTTGTGTACGTCGTCGCCTTCTGCAAGAAGCCCTTTCAGCCTGGCTCCAACTGTGGAAGTAAGTCTATATGTCTAATACGCTCGAGTTCCCGCTCCGCGTTCAATTAAGTTTGGGGTATATATCTCCATTCTTTGCTCAAATCATCGCGGACTAAAACACGCACACACCTTCTTCACAAGTTCATTAGTCCCTTAACTGATTTATCTTTAATCCACCAATACTCACTTAGGGGGCTAGATTCGCTTTCAACATGTATCCCACTAGTACACAAACAACTAAAGGTGCCGTTTGGGAAACCCCACCTTTAAGGTGTTTTCAAATGTGCCTTTAAGGTTCCAAAACCCTAAAAATAAGCTCAATGCATTGGCTCGAATCGAGCCGATCCATCGAGCATCTCCACTGCATCCCAAAACAAGACACATACAAGATTAACACATAGAAAAGAACACAACACAAAAACACAATAAACATATCCATGAACACATTAACATCAACAAACATCAAAAAGATTAACATCAACAACACAATAGCGGCCGGCGTCCTTCTCCACCCCTGCCGCTAGCATCCTTCTCCACCCCTTCCGTCGTCACTGAATGGAGAGGGCATGCCGCCGCCTCCGCCGAGCCACCGCCTGGCTGCCGCCGAGACAGAGAGGGCGAGAGAGAGATCAAGAAGGGACGGGATAAGGCCACCTTATATGGATAAGGCCAGCGCTCGATCGGCTTGCTGGCTCGGCTTGGTTTGGTATAGGTGCGGGGTTTTTTTAGAAAACTAACACCTATAATTTATTATAGGCCGGTTTTAGTTAACCGACACCTATAATATATTAAAGGTGCCGATTTTTTTTTTAAAAAAATGGGTACCTATAGTATAGGTGTTAGTTTTTCTTTAGAACCGGCACATATAGCTGCTTAAAGGTACCGGTTTTATGTGTTTTCAGCTCGCAGAGAAGGGAAAAGCACTATAGGTGTCAGTTTTACCTGTTCCGGCACCTATAGTATCTATAGTATCTATCTCTACGTGCTTTTTTAAGTAGTGTATGCATCGACAGTAGCCATCTTGCCATCTCACCTATCAAACATTAGTTGTCCAGAGTCTAGACGCTAGATGTTATTTTTTTCACTACTCTCATCCAAAACATGCAAATACGTATTCAGTACTCTAAATGAGTTCAAATGAAGAAAAAAATTATCAACTAAAAAAATGTAGATCTCGTCAAACTATATAATTTTCATATAAGGTTTGTCTCCATTCATAATCTTTACATATTATAAAAGTTTAAGATGTTTTTGCCAGATGTTTCGTGCGTCATCTGACTTCGATTCCTGCTCGGCTTGCGCACTATCGCCCACTCGTGCGCATCAGAATCGGGTCCGTGTTAGTGTCCGACTTCTCCCCTATACCTGCGCATGTTCACATCCTCTCTCACGAGTTGTTCGCACGCACCAGCCGGAAAAAAAGAGCGGAGCATCGATATGTCAGCAAATCGATCCGACTCTAATCCAAACCGATACGTCACACAAATAATAAAATCAGCATGAGAGATATATATAGACTTATGCTGTGTTCGGCAGCCCCTCTTCCTAACCCATCTCCCTTATTTTCTACACGCACGCTTTTCAAACTGCTAAACGGTGTTTTTTTTTAAAAGTTTCTATACGAAATTTGCTTAAAAAATCAAATTAATCTATTTTTTTAAAAAAATAGCAATTACTTATTTAATCACCCGCTAATAGATCTGCCTTGTCAAAGGATGTCGCACAAACACTCAAGTGGGCACGTGGGTATCTCCGGCCGGTTAGTATCATTTGCCTCGTGAGATTGCTTTGATTTTTTTTTCATGATTTTAAGATACAAATTTCCTTTCTTCAGTGTCGTTCGTTCTCTCAGCTTAGAGACACATTTTTACCGCACTCAAAACGAGAAAACTCATTGACACGTGATTAATTAAGTATTAATCTCTATATCTTCTCTACTATTATAAAAACTGAAGAAGTATTTGTCAGTAATTTGGTACATCATCCGTGTATGAGTTGGTTTTTAAATTCGTTCGCTTTTTGAAATACAGAAGGTGTCGTATAAGAAATATATTTAAAAAACTCGCATGCTAACTTGAGACGATCGGACTTCTAACTGCAGCTTATGATTTTCTAAAAAAAAATATGTTCTTTTTTTGCGAGGAAAAAGATATATGTTCAAGTGAATTCTCAGGGAGAATTTCACTTTAGCTAAACCATATAACAATAATAATATTAAAATAGTCTTTACCCGTTACAACGCACGGGCATTTTTCTAGTCATTTGAAAATTTTAAAAATATGTTTATTCAAATAGATCTAAGAACTTCTAAAACATATTTGGACATGCAAACAATCTCAAGTGAAAGGTCATTAACTTCAAAGTTGTAGATTTCGTCGAGCTCTACAATTTTGATATAAAGTTGGTTTTCATCCAACAACCTCATATGAGAAAGTGGTTTCTAAAAAAATATGCACATATGATATGAGTAGGTCCATTTCTAAAGGCACACCTCTCAAAATAAAATTTTAGAGGTGATCGCTTAAGGCAACCGCCTCTAGAATTGAGGAGGCAATTAAGACGATCGCCTCTAAAAATCTATTTTATAGGTGATTTTCTAATGCAGTTACATAGACCATTCATCACTAGAAATCAGGCTATTTTTAAAGTTGATCTGTTTATATGGCTGCCTCTAAAAATCAATGTCTAGTGGTTGTCCATGACTGCGGGTCCATTATATACGTTGGTTTTCTTATAAACTATATGTACAGTAACAATCACGATAATTTAATATATGTGGTCTCTTAGTTTATGTGTGTGTACGGTGTGTGTATTTATTTGTTTCTTTGCATCTCCATAATCATGGTTATTTTGAATGGTTTGTTTTTCAGGCTACCGTGTTCCTGCTTCCCTCGCTTAATGCTTATGTGTCCTGCCAGTTGCATTATCACGGATAACTGATCATATGCCATTTTATGGCTTCAGTCATAATATATTGTTTTACTAAGTTTGTCTACATGATAAAGAGATACACATGGATCTCTCCTAAATAAAGTCATCATTGATGTCCACATGCATTATTATGTATGTTAATTTACAAGTGATAAAACACATACTACTACTACACCCAAGATGTGGTATAGCTCAAACACACCCCAACGTAGTAATTTTTCTAGTGAGAGAACAATCATATATAGCAAAATATCCTATTGAGCCTGGCGATAATAACTCATAGTAATAATTTTATTATGTAAGAAGTTTGTTTTTAGTTATCACACACACTGGGTGCATCTTAATGCTATATATTTATTTGGCCACACAAAAGTAGTTCTTCCTCTAATGCCTTTCATTCTCAACTTTCATCATTTATTTGTCCTTTTTGTTAGGTTCCGTCAACCTAATATGGGTGAAAAGACAGTTTTCTATTAATATGTTTTAATGCAAGATCTGTGATTTTTATATTTTCTTTTGAGTTACAATTTTTATACTAGCTTATTATGCATGATGGTCGAATATCTCTCATGAACCATAATATTATTTTAGTAATCAAGTGTGATGCAAAATCCTTTAAATTTAGTATATTACATAAAAAAATAATTCTCAATTTCTACTTCTTAGCTTATAGGCTGTGCGCATATAGAATTTGAATTTTAGAAGTTTTAAAGTTGATTTTGGTTTTTTATCATATTTATTTTTAGCACTGACTTTTGAATAGCTAAAATTGAAAAACTTATCGTAAAAAATATTATTATTGGTTGCTTCGTTTATTCTGGATGCATCTTAACATTTACTGTAAAAATATAACCTATGGTTTACTTATATTTAATCAACAATATTTATTGTTAAAAAGTAATAGACAAGAGAAAAACAATCTTTTCTTCCATCTATTAACATTATGTTAATGGACAACTAACGGAAAGGGCAAATAAGATATCAAATTTAAGAATAAGTGTATAAGAGGGGAAGCCAATTTTGTGAGAATAAATAAGGAACCGATCAAGTCTAGAGGACACATAAAGAATTTTCTCATCATGGTGTTCATATAACTAGCCCGTTGAACTGTGAGATTGAATACTTTTGGGATAGTGAAAGAATATTTGACTTAATATTTTTCTTGAACACTACAATCTGCTATTTGTTTCACATATAAAAAAGTGAATATTGCATCCTCAATAAATGATCTAACATAAGGTACATAAATATCTAAATCTTTCTCTATTAATGTGTCATACATGGATGCATATATCTTAGTAAATATCTAAATCTTTCTCTATTAATGTGTGGATTCATACATGGATGCATATATCTTCAATAAGTGAGTAGTAAATATCTAAATCTTTCTCTATTAATGTGTGGATTCATACATGGATGCATATATCTTCAATAAATGAGTAGCAAATGTTTAAATCTTTTCTTTATTAATGTGTGGGTTCAACATGCATGGATGCATATATCTTTAATAAATGAGCCAATTAAATATGAGGTGCACAAATATCCAAATCTTTGCATGCATAGGCTCTCTCTTCACCATTGATTTTACATCCAATGGATACAATTCGAGCAACATGTCAACTTTTCCCCTCGATGGCCTTATATAAACCCAACTATCCCCAACTAGAAGATACACACCACAACAATATAGCCACTGTATTGATATCAAGAAAAAGGTCTATCCTAGCTGCTTTATACTAAAGCAATAGCCATGGGAAAGCTTTATGGTTTGTTCTGGGTTATGGCCTTGGTATTGGCTACGGTGGCTGGTACAAAATCCGATGAGGGTTGCAGTCGTGATCTTCAGGACTTAATTATGGAGTGTCAAAAATATGTTATGAATCCTGCAAACCCAAAGATAGAACCCTCAAACGCATGCTGTAGCGTAATCCAAAAGGCAAACGTCCCATGTTTATGCTCCAAGGTCACTAAAGAGATTGAGAAGATAGTGTGCATGGAGAAGGTCGTGTATGTTGCTGACTATTGCAAGAAGCCACTACAGCCTGGCTCCAAGTGTGGAAGTAAGCTTTAATACAAACTCAACAAAAGCATTTTGTGTTGTTTTATGAATTGTCAATGATATTTATTATTTTCTTCTGAATTACGTTTGCAGGCTACACGATTCCGTCTCTACAACAATAATTGGATATGATCAAGCATGAAGATGATGGCTTTGTCTTTTAGGATAAGTGTAATTTGTGAGGTTGTCCATTGGCAATAATCTATTTTGAGTCATTTGTGGGGAATTGTGGCCAATGTGAGTGGGATATTTAATATTGTAAAATAAATATTAAAAATGAACAAATAATGTCTTTTAGATTTTCTATCTTTTCAGATGACTAGATGGCGCCTCTAACCTTCATCTTCCACGTGGCGGTTCCCCATAGGCTCTCAATGACGGTTGCAAGTGAATCGACGTTGGAAACCGCCATATCCAATCGTCATTGGGCACTATATAAGGAGGAGAAGCTTTCTTGACTTCCCTGATTTTTAGAATCTTATTCTCCCCAAACAGGACCCAAGGCGATTGAGAAGTCATTGAGCATGGAGAAAGTCAACTATGTCGTTGACTACTAAAAGAGGCCATTTCAGGCTGACTCCAAGTGTGAAACTAAACTTTTACAGAAACTTCCATGAAAAAATTTTATGTGTGTTTTTGAATTATCATGCTTTTTTTTTCTCTTTTGAATTATGGTTACAGACTACACAATTCTTTCTCTTCAACAATAATCCGATCTCATTGGGAGAGACGATATTGGCTTTGTCTTCCGATCTCATTGGGAGAGACGATATTGGCTTTGTCTTTTGAGATGTGTAATTTGAGAGTTTGGTCATCGGCGGTCTATTCTAAGGCTGAGTTTGAACCTCCGAGTTCACAACATTTCTCTCTAGCATGAAAAATGGAGTGGCTAATTAGCATGCGATTAATTAAGTATTAGCTATAAAAAACTTAAAAAATATATTAATATATTTTTTTAAAGTAACTTTCCTATAGTTTTTTATAAAAAAAAGCATTGTTTGGCGGTTGCACATGAAAACTAGAGTAAAATTAGGAAATGGAGAAAATAACACACCCTGAGTCACTGGTAATGGTGGCAGCATGGGCGTTGATTGGTTTTTAGTGTGCACTGCTACTAAGTATATTTCCTCATTTATTTAAAACTTAGGTTATTCCGCCATTTTACGAAAGATATGGTCATCATACATTAACAGAATATTGGGTGGTTAATTTGTTTTAACGAGATGGTCAGTGTGAACGGGGCCATGTACAAGTACATTCATATACTTAATTGTTACTGATATAGTGTGATTTGGTGCACATAAAACAAATCAAATCTCTTTAGCTAGCTTTTATTTTGGATGATTCATAATGCATGACAGGACAAGAGAACGGTATATGATAGGCTTGACCTTACCTGCAATTCTATCAACCCTTTTGAGCAGGGGTTAGTGCAACTGTTTCATTGTATAAACACAATTTTTGCACTAAAATAATGAACACAAGTTTGAGAGATCATCTGTATTGTGCCGGGACCCAAACCCATTCAGCTCTTGTAGAGCTCCTTGCAAATTTTTCGATCCTAGTCGGTTAAGGTGCTATGCCATTTTATATTTTATGTATTACATCATGTTTTAAATATTATATAAAATTATATCAATAAGAGTTAATCTTGATTGGTTGAATGTAGTGTATTTAATGATAGTCATTTATTTCACAAATAAATAAAGAGATACTTATTAAAAGATAATTATTGTAACAAGATCTTAAATATCTTAGATGATGATAAAATGAATTGGAGGGAGAGATCAACTGCATTGATAGTGGCAACCGACACGTCCATTCGGGAGGCAGCTGCTCCTCGCGCGCCACGCGGCCCCTTGTTCCACCCTTCACCTGACCACGTGTGCTCCACCCGGCGCACCGGCCCACAGCCAGGACAGCCAGCTTCATTTCCCCCACTGGCCAGTGGCCACCGCTACCCGTTGTCACGCAAGGATCCAATGTCTGAACCACTCCACTGGGAAGCACGTCGAGGAATGCGCGAGCCGACAACGCCGCCGTGGGGAGCACTTCCCATCGTGGTGCCCTTCCTAGACCCCAAGTCCTAGGCGGCGGCCTCCTGCGTCTGCACCTCCTGGAGCGCCGCCTTCGGCGCCGACGGTCTCTGGGTGCAGCTCTGCCGCTCCTAGTTCCCGTCCGCGCTCGGGCTCCTTCACCTGCTCGGCGGCGCCGAGGCTAGAGGCCCCCACTCGTCCCCGCATCGCCGCCTCTTCGGGCTGTTCCACGCCGCCTCCCACGGCCAGCAGGTCAAGCCCCCGCTCTCGCCCTCGACGACGTCTCCTTCGCCGTCGACATCATCGGGGCCAGCGGCAACGCCATCCTCTCCTTCGCAGTTGCCGCCCGAGACGCCGGACCCAAGAACAGTTCCAGTTCGGGGTGGACACGAGCGACAGGAACGCGGCGCTTTTGCCGGGGGAACGCTGGAGCGTGCGGTTGACGGCCGTGCGTGCCGGGGCGGGGCTCGCGCCTACGGCGTTCGTGATGGTGTACGCGGAGAATAAGGAGATGCCTGCGCCCCTCACTATCGGCATTCGCTTGCGTGGGGTGCTCCCCATACCTGGCTGCAGCGCGCGCGGCACGAGCATTCTGGTGGCGGAGGTGGAGATCATGGTGAGCATAGAGGAGAGGTTTGTGCGGGAGGTTAATTTCTGGGTGATGCAGCCTGACTACAGGCCCAGGTTCGTTAGCATCGACGATGGGCTCAGATACTTGCAGCAATTCCTCCTGTGAAATGCGCGTTTCTCTTTTAGCCTTCAGGGTCAGTGTAGCGGTGATGAACCGTTGTTGATCGGCAGAACGTACCTATGTGTTTTGCGTCGTAAATCGATCTCCGTGTTTCTGTTGTAAATCGTCTTAGTTCTCTCTCTGGATAATAAATTGCGCTCTAAATCGTCTTAGTTGTTCTCTATGCGGATAATAAACTGCGTTCCAAATGTTTGATGATCTGGGCGCAGCTCTGCCGCTCCCACTTTCCGTCCGCGCTCGGGCTCCTTCACCTGCTCGATGCCGACGGCGGCGCCGACGCCAGAGGACCCCATCACCCCACTCGTCCCCACACCGCCACCTCCCCCGGCAACCGGGCCCTCCAACCCCCGGGCCTCGCCATCGACATCGAGGCCGACAGCAACAACGTCCTCTCCTTCGCCGTCACCGCCCGCGACGCCGGCCCCAAGAACAGCGTGTTCCAGTTCGGGGTGGACACGGGCGACATGAACGAGGCAGTTGGGCGCGCGGAACGCTGGCGCGTCCGGTTGACGGCTGTGCTGGCGCGGGTCGAGCCGGGGTTCGCGCCTGCGGAATTCATGATGATTGACCCGGTGCCGGAGGAGTTGGAGATTCCGAAAGCGGACGAGATCGGCATGGGCGTGTGCGTGTACGCGGGGCTCCCCGCGCCTGGTGGTTGTGATGACTGGGGCGACGCGATTCCGGAGGCCCGGATGGAGATCAAGGTGACCGGAGAGAAGAGGTTCGTGCAGGAGGTTAATTTCGGGGTGACATTACTGACATCAGATAGTGATAGCGACGGCAGGTACGTGGACGATGGGCTCAGGTACTTGCAGTATTTCCTTATGTAATGCTTCATGCTTGCGTGTTCCGGTCTCTTCCACGATCAGTCCGTCAGTGTAGATGCGGTCTCTTTGGTTTGTGTTGTAAGGGCCTTTTTAGTTCACGAAATAAAATTTTTCTGGATGTCACATCGGACGTTTGACCGAATGTTGGAAAGATTTTTTGAACGCGAATGAAAAAACTAATTTCATAACTCGTCTGGAAACCGCGAGACGAATCTTTTAAACCTAATTAATCCACCATTAGCACATGTGGGTTACTATAGCGTTTATGGCTAATCATTGACTAATTAGGCTCAAAAGATTCGTCTCGCGATTTCCTCTCTAATTGTGCAATTAGTTTTTTTTATTCTACATTTAATGCTGCATGTATGTGTCTGAAGATTCGATATGATATTTTTGGGAAAAACTTTTTGAGAACTAAACGGGGCCAAATCGTCTTAGTTTTATCCCTCTCTTTGGACAATAAACCGCTTTGTAAGTCGTCTTAGTTTTAACTTCTCTCTCAATCTCTCTGTATGGATAGTAAGGTTGTGTTTAATTCAGCGTAAAGTTTGAATTTTAATTGAAATTGGAGATGATGTTACTGAAAATTTATGTGTGTATGACATGTTGATGTGATGGAAAAGAAATAACTTTGGATCTAAACACAGCCTAAACTGCGCTGCGAATGGTTTAGTTTGAATCTTAACCAATGACCGAACATGGAAGTATACATGGAACGAGAGGACCGCCACGGCGCCACTGCACCACTCATGGCAACTGACAACAAATACGCCTCTCACAAACATGCTTCAATTTGTTGTTTGTGCGATCTGGTAGTGCAACTCAGGAGGTGTGAAGTTGCTGAGCGATCACAAATTCACAATAATCTCCTCCTAATTACAGGAAGTGGATTTTGATCCCTCGAGAGGATATCTACTCTCATTTTTTGCATGTCACTTAAATGGTTATTAAAAAATTTAAGAAGATATATTAACATGTGATATATCACTCCATAAATATACAAGTTAAAATTTAACTTCTACATCTCGCAACGAAAAAACAAATTTGACTCTGAATATACGTTAACAAGCTGCGGTTTAATTTATTTTTTTCGTTACAAAATGTAGAAGTTGAATTTGAATTTACATGTTTGTGGAGTATTATATCACATGTTAATACACCTTCTCAAATTGTTTTAAATTTTTTCATAACCATTTGCGTGACATGCAAAGAACGAAAGATATCTTCTCGAGAGATTAAAATAGTTTCTCTAATTACAGGCTACGGATGCAAATATTAATGGCAATTAAGTTATTCCGGTTTGGCCGTTTTGGACACCCTTACATGAGACAATGATAACTTGGAACACTAGCTGTACCGTTAGATAAACCTGTTAAGATAGCTTTTGTTACACATGAAAGTTTCATAATCTGTTAATTTCAGTAAGTCTCACCTTATATGCTTCGGCCTATGACAATCATATCATATTATCAGTGCACTAAACCATGATGTCGCTCTTCCCCGATCCTAGAATTAACACATGATCTCCCTCCCTGTTTATAAAATTGAGCGTGTGAATTAAGGAGACTAAAATTTTATAAAACAAAATGACAATTGTAGCACAAAACAATACTGGATATTCAGCAGTACTTGTTTCGTATCTATGTAACACCAAAAACAAATAGTCAAATACAATCGCAGGCCATTGGGCTTTGAAATCGGACAAATAAACTTCCTCCTTGATTGGGCTGGGTCGCGTACCCGAATCGTGCTCCATTGGATCTCTTCTGTAGAGAGGCAGAAGTGGAGAACAGAAGAACAGCTAACAAGTAACAAAGGCACAAAGCCATCGAAATGACGAAATGTCCAACCCTCGTGCCTCGTCGACGCTTGCATGGGAACGAGCAACTTGGCGACCATCCTCTCGGCACGTTTCTTCCCAAGGCAACTCCGCGCCACGCGCCTTGCTCGTGCCGCGCCACCGTGTTCCTCTCGGACCACGTGTGCGCCACCCGCGCGCACGCACGCGCGCGCGCTCACCGCTGATCGATCTCTAGACCTTTCCACCCCCGTCGCCGCTGTTCAAATTCATATCCGTTGCATTCGTACAGCATCCGGACTCGCCTATAAACAGGTTGATAAACTAGTCGAACTACGGATATGAAACCGTAATCTCATCCAATTTGGCCGTCGTGCTGTACCCACCAACCTGTCGATATAAGGCAAGCCGTTTCGGCGAATCGATTGGTTTCTTTCCGCTACCTGTTTCCCCCTTCCACCTCCAGATTGATTGATATGCTTGCTTGCGCGGCGGTGGAAGCTGACGGCTCGGTCTCGCGTGCGCGGAAAAGGCCGCGCATTGGCGTGAGCGCGGAGCCCGCGCGGCCGACGGCGCCAATGCTGGGATCTGAACCTCCGTGGTTGGTGCTCCGGCTGGTGGGTCCCTTCCTCGACGCCGAGTCGCTCGCGGCGGCCTCCTGCGTCTCCACCGCCTGCCGCGAGGCCTTCACCGCCGAGGACCTCTGGTCCAAGCTCTTGCGCTCCCAGTACCCATCCGCTCTCGGCCTCCTTCCCATGCAGGGCAATGGCGACGACGCCAGCGGCCGGAGCTCGTCGCCGTACCGCCGCCTGTTCGCGCTGTTCCGGTCCGCCTCCGCCCGCCGCCGCGCGCTCCCGCCACCGCGCCTCGCCCTCGACGATGTCACCTTCGCCATCGACATCTTCGCGGCCAGCGGCGAGAACACCCTCTCGTTCGTCGTCGCCGCCCGCGACGCCATCGCCAAGACCGGCCGTTTCCAGTTCGAGGTCGACCTGACCGGCCGGAACGCGGCGGTCGGGCGGGGGGAGTTCTGGAGCGTCCGGTGGACGGCTTTGCGGGCGGGGCTGATCGGGTTTGCCCCCTTGGCGGTCGAGATGATGGACGCGAAGGCCCCGGCGGCGAGGGCGCGCGCGCTGTTCGGTGGCGCGACGGGGGAGACCTGGGCCACGGGGTGTCTCCCGGCGCCTGGCTGCGGCGGCGCGACGGTGGAGGCGGAGGTGGTGTTCGAAGTGTCCAGCGAGGAGAGGCTGTTGGAGAAGGTGAGGTTCGGTGTGATGGCGCAGTGTAGGTACGTGAGCATCGACGATGGGCTCAGATACTTGCAACACTTCCTCCTGTAACGCACGCCCTTCTTCTCCTTCCGATCGTCAGACATGACGTGGCTACTTCAAATTGTAAATCGTGTTAAATAGTACTACTAGCTATCTATTTTCTTCTTGGGATCAATGTTGAAGTTCCAAATATTCGTCGTCGTCGTTGTTTTTTTCAACGTTGCAAATTGTTGGAAACTCGGGGTCTCATCGATCTTTCAGTTATGAGCTTGTTACAAGTCCAAATGGTTTATTAATGATAAAAAGTAATTTATAGATATTTTTTATATATGTAATTAGCGACTTAAAAGTTAATTTTGAAAAAGAAAATACTGATTGGAAATATTTTGAAATTAACTACACACAAAATAAATTGTAAAATTTAAATTTTGGCAAACGGTTGATTTGACGAGTCCTCGATCTTTCGGGGCTAGCCTGTGCTGCAAATTGTTGATGTTGTATAACACCGATGGCAGTTGAGAACGAGTATAACATACTTTTCTGTAAACCACACCTTTCATTCATCGTTCATTAAAGGCAAGTAGGCGACAGTCATCGTCCTTGGCTAACAGTATGACACCGAGAGACGAAAACATGGTGCTTTACTCCTTCCTTTTCTTTTCTTTAAAGGCAGGGCTCTACTTGACTACTACTGCCAAATAAAAACACTTCCAAAATATAACAAGATGTTAGTTTGCCTGAAAACAACAGGTGAGAGAAGCACCCATGGAACACATCAGGATACACTGTTTACATACCTCGTGCGGCCAGTCGCCTGTTACAAACTCCATTGAATTGAATAGCCTTTTCCTGGTTGTCTATCTGCACTACGCGCAGATCAAAGAAAACATTCCGTGTGAATAATCTCGAGCTAGTACGATCCACACGATTACCATCGGACGGCCAGCAGAGAAACCGCTTTCTCGTCCAACATGGGCCGGGCCGGATAACCGATTAACACCAAGATGGGCCATTTCGGATAGCACCGAGAGACTCCGCGGGGGCTCACCGGCGGCACGGCCCGGCCGCCACGGCGCGCATCGCCACGCTCCCCTTCCCTTCTTTAGCGCGGCCACGTCGCGGCGCCTCGCGCCCTAGCTCGCCCGCCCATGCCGCTGCTCCTGCGCGGCGGCTCCCTCTTCCGTCTCTACGGGTACGGTTCCCGTCCCCCCTCCCTTCTCCTGCTCTCCCCGCTCTTACGCGCATTTGTTCTTCCCGTGCCGGTTCGATGCGCAGCAGTTCTGGATACGGGTGTCGTGCTCCTAGGGTTTACCTTTGGTGACGAATCGAAATCCGAGTTCCCAAATTTCTTCTAGACGGTGTCGCATAAATGTGCTACGTACTAGGCCTGAGTTCATTGCATTTGTGGGGATGCATCATTTTTTTAAAAAAAAAAAGAATCCCCTTAGGAATCGCTCACAGTTAACTCTTGTTTGCTCATATTAGCAGTACGGATAGGTCAGGGCGCTGTCAAACGCTGTGGCGTTTCTGCCACTTTGCATTGAGGAAATTCTGTGCTTTTGTTCTGCATTTGGAGTCCTTGGCACAAGAATCACTTGAAACTTGTTTCTGTGACTGTAGGTGTGGCTGTGGGCTTCCAAGCGCAAATTTCAGTCCCAGCAAACTAGCACTGATAAGACTAAGCTTGATGATGGCAGAAACACGAGCCACCTATTCGCGTCGAGCTGCCTCTAAGAATACTGATATCAAGAAAGATGATGAACATGTCCTTGAAAAGGTTAGCCTTTTTATGCCCTTTGTACTAAACAGGTGGCATTATCCACTGTAACTTGTTTATGGTTGGATCACTTATTTGCTTTGACTATAGGAGGATGTTGCTGAAAGCAAATTGGAGATAGAGCAACTTAGGAATGACCCCGATCGACTCCAATCCATGACAGTGAAGGAGCTCAGGGAAATCACGAGGTTTAGATTTACCACATACCCACATCCTTCGTTTATTTTCAGTCGATGATAATTGATTGCCTCTCTAATTTAGTTCTTGTGAATTTAAAGGATGATGGGAATTCCTGTAAAAGGCAACAAGAAAGATTTGGTATCAGCCCTGATGGATTCTCTGGGTAAGGAAAGAAATGGTGTAAATTACTTAGGGTGCGTTTGGATCCAAGGCTAGATCAAGCCTAGCCTAGCCAGGCAAGACCAGGTGTTTGGAATCGTGAAAAAATCCTAACTTTTGAGGGCGAGCTAGCCTGCAGGGGCGAGAAAAAACTGGCTCACGAGGGAGAGCCAAATCGGCTCGCCTCCGACGGCAAACTTCTCACGTGCGACTTTCTTCAACAACCAGGCTTCATTCTTGCCGAACTATAGGGCTAGCAGATCGTGTATCTATTTCGCTGCCATCTTCTTGTTAAATCACTCCATCTTTCCAGTCATGGATGAATGCATACGATACGAGCTGCTAGCTAGCCTGCTACCATTCCAAGCCACAGATAGCAAATGAACCAAACGGACGGGTACGGCAAACCCAGCAAGCAGGCAATGAGTTGGTTTGCCTTTGCCTAGCAAGGCTAGCTAGGCAAGGGAACCAAACGCTCCCTTACACATTTGTAGTAATTCTTGCTCTTCAGAACTAAAACAACAAGCCAATACCTGTCCTTCCACAAACTAATTGTTCCAATCATGCGCCCCCCGGCAGCACTAACATAAGTCATTTTTATTCCTACAAATTCTAATATAGGTACCCAAAGAGATAGCCATCTCATTGCTGTAGCTCTCTACTACTATATAATGTTTCAAGGGTGCCATTTTTACTGGATGCTGGAATCCTTTCTGCAGGTAAAGTGGGAACTTCATCAGTTGAGAAGATTGGTGTGTCTGAAGTACCTTCAAAAAGAAAAGGTGCTTCAGTAGTAGTTGAACAAAACATAGATAGTTCTGAGGTCATTTCTGAAACTCCTAGTAAGAGAAGTAGAGCAAAGAACAAAGGAACCGCTGAGGAGAGTTCTGGGGCTAATGTCAAGCAAAGCAAGACATCAGTCCAGAAGAAAAAGCTAGTTGGTATGTCCATTCATTCTTCCATTAATATTTTCTTAATTAGTTTTTCATTTTAAAAATTACCTCTCTCTTGGCTGATTATGTGATAATCCATTCTAGTCCAAGGTGCCAGTGTGGACCATGAAGAACCTTGGACTGTACTTGTACACAAGAAACCACAACCTGCCTGGATTCCTTATAATCCTAAGGTCATGAGGTCTCCATCTCTTAGCAAGGATACGAAGGCTCTAAAGATTCTGTCATGGAATGTGAATGGATTAAAAGCTTTACTTAAATCGAGGGGCTTCTCTATTCATCAGTTAGCTCAGAGGGAGGACTTCGATATACTATGCCTACAAGAGACAAAAATGCAGGCAAGATATGATTTTAGTTTTTCTTATGCAAAATTACCATCTAAAATTGGACAAAAGGTTCTTTCTTGGGGAAATGGTATCTTTTCTTCTCTCTGAATTGTTTTCATCCTTCACTGCTATAGTTTATTAACCAGGAATTACGTTATTTTGAGCAGGAGAAGGATGTAGAAGTCATTAAGGAAGGTCTACTTGAAGGCTATACCCATAGTTTCTGGACATGCAGTGTATCAAAGCTTGGCTATTCGGGGACTGCAATAATTTCAAGGGTGTGCACTGCTATTCTCACATCCTACCACAATGATCATTGCAAAATGGCTACAACCTCTAATGCATCATATCTCATGTTTGTTGGTTTGCTTCGTTTTGTGCCTTATATCTTGTTTTTATCTATAATGTGTTGTGTTCTGCAAATTCCTTTAGGTGAAACCACTCTCTATCAAGTACGGGCTTGGTGTGCCAGACCATGATACTGAAGGGAGGGTCGTCACAGTGGAGTTCAATGATTTTTACCTCCTGACTGCTTATGTACCAAATTCTGGTGATGGTCTAAAAAGATTGGTAATTCTGCTTATTTTAATCTTGTTATCATTGAGAGTTGATAATTCAGATAAGTTAAATCCATAACCATATATTACCGTGCAGACTTACAGGGTCACAGAATGGGATCCAAGCCTTGGTAACTACATGAAAGTATGCATATCCTTTTTCTCTGATTATTATTTTAAATTAGTCCTGTTACCCATATTCTGTCAACGCTTTTACTAAAGAAGAAACAGAGCGCTGTATTTTACCTTTATTCTTTTTTGTTACTGCATTGTTTTCTCCATATCGTCTTTTGTAGTGGATATGTGTTTAGTTGTAGTTGTATATGGGGTTGACTTGTTCTCGTGATACACATCTGCACATACCAAATCATACTAGAATTTAAAAATAAAGGTAAGATCTGGTTAGAGCTTGGGATGGTAGGCCAAAAGTATTAGAGTTGTGAAGTTTGTCACTGTTTAATCCAACACATTTGTGAATCTTCCATTATGCATCCAATTCCCTTATTGACCATTCAGCACTTTCTATTACTCACACTAATCAACATATTTCAACATTTTTCTTACTTTTGTGGATGCATGCGGGCTAGGATGTTTTTGTGGGACTGTAATAATGACCTTGCATATCAGAAATGCACAACATTCACATGTCATCTCTCCTGCATTTACCTTGTTTCAGTATATCAGTAGCAATAAATGTGCTTTCAAGTGCCAAATGGCATGCTTCTCTGACAAATTTCTTATTATTATGCAGGACTTGGAAAAATCGAAGCCTGTTATACTAACTGGTGATCTTAACTGTGCCCATCAAGAGATTGATATACATGATCCTGCTGTAAGTAATTATTAGTTTCGACCACCCACATATTTCAACCAATACTGTTCCATGCAAAAGCATAGCATTCTTATGGTTGACTGTTTAGTATATGTGATATGGCACATGTGTAGATTACAATGTCATTCAACATTTCTCATTTTGCTGTTAAAATTTTTATTTTTCTGGATCAACATCAGAGGTAAAAGTAGCTATACTAACATCCGAGAACATAAATGTCTAGTTTTGGGGTATCCAGTTGCTTCCCCAAACGTTCCTTTTATACTTGTTAGCTTATAGTTAATGCTCTTATCCAGGGAAATCGTAGAAGTGCAGGCTTTACAATTGAAGAAAGGGAATCATTCGAGACTAATTTTTTGTCCAAAGGTTTTGTTGATACATTTCGAAAACAGCATCCCAATGTTGTTGGATATAGTTACTGGGGTTATAGGCATAATGCCCGGAAGACCAACAAAGGTATGTACTTACTCAATGTCAAGAGCTTTATCATACCATAAAAAATAACTGAAATATTTTTCATATGATTATTTATTTACCTAATATTTTTTTCCTGGGCTGGCGAAGGAGCCAGCCGAACTTCAATAATAATTTCCTAATAACACCATAAAGATCACAAGAGTTGGTAAATAACACCTGTGTTGATGTCTCATTGGCATGTGGGCCATGACCCCAAATTTTATCCTTGGATGTTATTTCCAATTTATACATGTTTGCAGTGTAATTGAACATACTATCCCTGGCATATTAGGCTGCCTAGTCCTCTGGCTTCCTAAATGGAGTTCATCATCGTTGTGTCGTCAGCTGGCCCATCGAGCACCCTTCTTTCATTTCAGACGGAACTCAGAACTTCTTTTAATCCTTATTGATAGCATTTCCCTTAGGAAGAACCACCCGCATTATAGCATATGTCTGCACACTGGATTATGCACACTAGTTTGTTTCCTTGTAACATAAGAGCATGCTAATTATTTGACCGTGTCGCATTTTGTCATTGTTTGGCAGGTTGGCGTCTGGATTATTTTCTTGTGTCTGAATCCATTGCAGAAAGAGTCCATGATTCATACATTATTCCAGACATATCTGCCAGTGATCACAGCCCGCTAGGCCTCGTACTGAAGCTCTAGGCAGGCTGCATGCCTGGAACCCAATACGGACTTCTGGGTTTAGTTAACAATGTTTTCCTGCTGTGAGTCTGTGGGAGGGTATGTGGTTTTGTATCAGTAGGTTCTAATACTAGCCTAACGGATGTGGATGTGTTACACCAATCCGATGTTGGAAAAAAGGCTGGTTTCGATATGTAGCCGAATGAGTCTGGGTGATGTAGTGTTGTTACACTTCCTTAAGCTGCATTGACAGATCGTAATGCGGGGTCTGCACTTTTCACGTTTTCAGTGGAGTAGCTCAGTATTGGAATTCGATGGTAATATCATGATTCGTAGTCATATTTGAGTGTTCTTATGTTCCTAATCATATTTGAGTCATCCTATGTGATGTGCTTGCCAAAGTTTTGTTCTTACAGAAGTGGTACTGACGACAGAGTTTTTTTTCTTTTAAATTCATATAAATCATATTAGATTTTTTTTTTCGCTAAGGCTTCGTTGGGTGGCACTAACGCAGGTAATCGGAGAGTAAAAACATGGTCTGACTCAAAACATAAATGTAGCATAAACGAAGGGGGTTTATATAAGTTCTAAGATTAACATGGATTTATGGGGTTTAATAAGTTTTAAATCTAACACGGATTCTCAGTATTTAGAGTTAATTTTTTTTCTTTAGTGGCATATGATGTATCCGTCGAGAGGGAGGTTTTCATGATAACTTCGATCAGTTTTATTTTAAAAGAATAAAAATCTGGGATTAAATCTCGAGTTCAACAAAACCTAGGGGTATAAATTGCGGGACATATTGGCACATTTAACTTTTTGTCACTTTATGTGGCAATTAATTATTTACCACATGCTGTCTATGACATGTGGACCCTTATGTGTCTATGACACGTGGGTTTAGTGGCAAATCTTTTATCACCACTCGTAAACAGTGGTGGACCCAGGATTTGAACCCAGGGTAAGCCTAGCAAAAAAAATCCTAATGCAATACAATACGATTCGACATAAAATGTGGTAAACGATACGATATATAACTCTAAATGGTTCAATACAAGTAAAAAATAATAAATAAGTTTGAATCTTATACCTAAATAAAAATGTAAATTGTTCAAATATAACATAAGGTCTTTAAATAAATAGGATATTACAGTACTAGTCAAGACTCAAGAGCTTTTGCTTTACGCTTCTTCATGGTCATGAAAGAGTGAATTATGTCTTCCTCACTTGCATTGGAGAAGATATCACGCTAAATAAAGGTGACCAAACAATTATTCAATAACTTATCACTCATATTATTTCTCACTTTAGTCTTTACTAAATTTATTGCAGAAAATACCCTTTCCACACTTACCGTCGCCACCGGTAAGATCAACACCAATTTAAGAAGCAAATACACCAAATCATAAAGATCATGCCTCTTCGTATCAACAAGTTTAATTGAGAGCTCACCAATGTTGTTTAGGCATTTGAATCTATCATCCTCTCTCATATAATCAATATATGTATCAAGTTGGAGCTCAAGTTTCATCAAATCGGAGCCTTCAATGTCCTTAAGGATAAAAAGCTTGCAAGTCTAAGTCTTTTTTTTTTTTGCATCAAATGAGGCAAATGAATTAGACAGATTAAATGCCAACATACAAAGAAGCAACTCCATACTAACTTCATCAAACCGATTCTTAAGCTCTTGACGAATTCTATCGATAACACCAATATACACTTCTCTCCTATAGTGGTCATCAATTGTTTGTTTTGAGTAAAAACGGTGGGATCTTCCATGAGGCACATATTTAGCATCCATTGCGGGAATATCAGTGGAATATTTGGTGCAAAATGACGTAACCTTCCCTAAGAAACCTTCCCAACCATTAGACCTCATTTGTTGTATTTTTTTTCTTTGGCAAACCCACAAGTGACATCGCATTACCACTAGTACCGGTCTACAACTACTAGAACTCTATATTCTAGAAGGGAGAGAGGCCGAGAGGTAGTGAGGGACTAAAGAATTGCTCACCGGAGTCCGAAGAGGAGAGCCGAAGAGGCCGAAAGGGAGTGGGCCACTAGGCGCCTGGGGCCGGCCGGAGGGGAGAATGCACGGGAGAGAACATAGAAGAGAGTTAGGTTTTTTTTTTTGCCAAGCTTTTTTTACAGGCGAAGAAAAATAAATAGGTCTTCTCTAGGGTCTATCTAGACTATTCTTTGAACCCGCCCCTGCTCGTAAGAGTGGTAAATAATTAATTATTACATATTTGTATAAATCGGATGAGGAAGGCTTCCATCTGTTTCTTCTTGTGTGGCACGTAAGAGGCAGAACTCCGCGAGAGATTTTCGCTTTCCTCCCGATCACCCCGACGCATTCTGCTTTCGTCTCCAGAGGTTCGTCTTCTTCTCCTTCCCCCAGCTTTGCGCCTTCGCGCAGCCGCGTAATCTCGTCTGCCCTCGCTGCTGGATGTCGGCGATCCGCGCCTCTTCTCACCGGCTGTATCCCCCTTTCTCCTCCTCCTCCTCCCTCTCTCTCTCTCTCTGAGTTCGTGGTTTAGATTGTTTCTGGAATCTGGTTATATCTCTATTTTTTGGTATCTCTCGTTATGTTCTCCGTGACTGTTGGGAGTAGAGTCCTGAACGGAGAGAAGCCAATCTTTGATTCTTGAAGAGCGTGGGGTCTTAGGGGTTTTGGATTGGGGTTTAGGAAAGGATTCTGCTACGAGAGTTGAAACCCCCCAATATTAGGGCAAAATCTTCAGAGCGATTATTATAGCTTCCGTTACTAGCATATAATTTTGATGCGGCCTTCGTTCTTGTTTGAGAACCGAGCAGTAGAAGCACGCTTTTGGCGACAAAAGGCTATTCTAGTTGGAAGGACAGGTTCTTGATTAGTTTACTTTCGTTGCTCTTTTTGCCCAAATTATTGACAGGCATATGTTTTTTATTATCATTATGGAAGTAGTATAACACTATAACCATAAGTTTTTCAGTGTGCAGCTACCCTTTGTATGACTAATGAAAGATGGAATTCCTATTGTTTCCTTAAGTACTGTTGTTGCAATCGTTGCTGAAGTATTCCTGAATCAGGCAGACAAGAACTGTGGCATTAACAAGGACAAAGATGTCAAGCATGGCAGGCTTGGGAGCTTCTCAGCATGGATATCCTCCCCGAAGTCATGAGCCCTGGACTAAACTTGTACACAGAGAGAGATTACCCGAGTGGTTTGCATACAATCCAAAGACCATGAGGCCTCCACCACTTAGCCATGATACCAAGTGCATGAAGATTTTATCCTGGAATATTAACGGGCTTCATGATGTTGTAACGACAAAGGGGTTTTCTGCACGTGACTTGGCTCAGAGAGAGAATTTTGATGTGTTATGTCTTCAAGAGACACATTTGGAGGCAAGTCTTGGTGTTTCTGCCATAAGACTCTTAATTTATACTGTACCTCTTTGGTGTTATGTCATGGGGCAGTGTTATTCCGAACAACTGTCACCTATTATGATGTGTTTATGGTCTTACATAATGAATTTATGATTAATATACATCGTGTACTGTGTTTTCATTATGTTTTCAGGAAAAGGATGTTGAAAAGTTTAAGAATCTGATAGCAGACTATGACAGCTATTGGTCATGCAGCGTCTCGAGGCTTGGCTATTCAGGGACTGCAGTAATTTCACGGGTATGGTATTTATGTGGTTATGTTCAAGATAAGTTACTGTGCATACTAATTCTAGATAGATAAAATATTTTGATGAAAATTAGATCATAGCATGACTTATGTTGTGCTTCCATTGCCTTTACAGGTTAAACCAATTTCTGTCCAATACGGGATTGGCATACGTGAACATGATCATGAGGGCAGGGTTATTACTCTGGAGTTTGATGGTTTTTACTTGGTAAATGCCTATGTTCCAAATTCTGGTCGTTTTCTACGTAGACTGGTAAGACTGCTTTTCCCATCTAGTATTACTGTTGCTTTATAGTATTTTATTTCAATTGCTTTGATCTAATTTTGTTTTCTTGCATTTTGATTTTCAGAATTACAGGGTCAATAACTGGGATCCGTGTTTCAGCAACTATGTAAAAGTGTGTTCACTTGCCTAACTTTTCAATCTAATTTACTGTTTGACATTAATAGACCATGTGGAGTTGTGTCATGGTTCATATCCGCAACTCCACAATATCTTATTGAACAGATTTGATCCCTGAAATAGTACTATGTAATCTAAGCTGATTTATACCTTTTGATCTGCAGATACTGGAAAAGTCGAAACCAGTGATTGTTGCAGGAGACCTTAACTGTGCTCGTCAAAGCATTGACATTCACAATCCTCCAGTGAGTAACTCTCTTTTCTTTTTGAACAATGTCTCCCTCCAATTTGTTCTGTACTATCATTACATCATTCGAGAGCAGAGTGCTTAGGTTGTTTCAGAATTTCATATATCAGTACACAGATCCTCATTCTGAACCCTTTTTCAGGCAAAAACCAAGTCTGCAGGTTTCACAATTGAAGAGAGAGAGTCATTTGAGACAAACTTTTCTAGCAAAGGCCTTGTGGATACTTTCAGAAAACAGCACCCTAATGCTGTCGGCTATACCTTCTGGGGTGAAAATCAGCGCATAACCAACAAAGGTCAGTACATGCGTGGACTGCTTAATTTCATAAACTTGTGTAGGATTTGGTTAAATTTTGCATTCTAACTACTAAAAGAAGAAACAATCCTGTCTTACAATCGTCATTGTATTTTGCTATTTCTGTGATCGTGTGCCAAAAGGGTGATACTTCCAGACTGGGAAATCTTAGCATGTGTTGTAGTAGTTTTTAGGTAATCCTTTAGATTATAAGATCTACTATATAATATTGAATGTATATGTTGGGGTTTACACTCATTTATACTGAAAAAATGCAGACATGTGATACATAGGACAAATTTTTAAACTGTATAATCAAAGGAATTTATGAAATAGGGAGTATAAGTCCATTTTTTTGGGTCATTGACATACGACCAATTATTTTTCTTACAAATAAAATGTAACAAACCTAAGATTTCTTCTAGACCTTTTAGCCAATGGAACCATTTCTTTTTTTTCCTCCCCTTTGAAAATATAAGCTTCCCTGGTTCTGATGTTTTTTGCTTCATCTAACAGGTTGGCGATTAGATTACTTTCTTGCGTCGGAATCTATTACCGACAAGGTTCATGATTCATACATTCTTCCTGATGTATCATTCAGCGACCACAGTCCAATTGGCCTGGTACTGAAGCTATAGTATCGGCGAGACTCTAAAATTCGAGACCTTACTGAAGCCAACTGTACATAATCACTTGACAAATGCTTATATAAATCTTTGGCCAGCCTGAAATGTTGCAAGATGTGGTAGAGTTAGTCTCCATATCCATTTGCCAGTCAATATTACGATTTGTTCTGTCAGTCTGTCAGGTGTTCGTCCTGAGACCTTCTGTATATAACGCGATGCATTTGTTTGCTGTCTCTGGGCCAAACTTTCATAGGCATTTTATCATGAAATATGATTCCACTAGTGTGGATTCCGCTGTTTTGATACTAAACTGAACCTAAGTTCATTGCCCCGCAAAAAAACATGCACAGTAAGCTTATTCTGATACACAATCTTGGCAGAGGTGTGCCGGCGCTCTTCACCTAGTGGTATGGGACATTCTTTTTTTTTTTCTAAAAGAGAATTATCTGTTTCTCATAAACTGTTCAATGCAAGTGTGGTATGCATGGTTGAACGACCGATTAGAGTGGGCCTCGCATGTTTGTTTTAGAATAATTTTTTTAAGGTTAACTTTCAGAAATTTTAACGCCAACCGAATGCACTTCTGGTTCAGAACATAAGTGCTTCATTTCAGAATTCATTCGAGGACCGTTTATAGCATGATGGAAACTTTGACACAACAATACAACATAGGAACAATATATACCCCTAACAATTCAAAACCGGCCAAAACCACCACACAAGAAATAGTTGAACAGACACCATCTTAATTAATTCCCACTTTGCAACAATGAAGCTGCAATACAGCCAGTAAACAAAAATGACTGAGCTCAAAAACATATACATAGATATAGATATGTACAACGGGCATGCAAATGGCTAGACAAAATCGTCACTCTAGGTTTGTGGTGGTTCGTACTATCTACAAAAACTTCAAGAAAAAAGGAAACATAACCTACACGGGTCCTCATTTTCTGTCCAATGCACTTCCTCACATTGCTAGTGACTGGTTGCAACCAGGATTCTCATAGGAGTACTGCATGTTATTTCTAACTCGGCAGTGCCTCCAGCCATTATTAGCACCATTACGCTCCTCAGAATGGTACTTTGGTTTCATGGCCTTTGAGCTAATGGGACCAACTCTATCTCTACCCCTGCTATTCCTTCTGCTCGACTCATTGTTTCGCCTTTTCCAGTGACCGTAAGACCAGCCCTGGCTGTCAGGTACATAACAGTTCTCTCTATGGTTGTCCCATGAATCTATAGCTGCAGAACCCCAGCCGGAATCACGCTTCCATGCATCCAGAGAGTCACCCTTCATGTCCCAGGTGCCAGGCATGGTTGGTGCCTCCCAGTTATTAGCTTGATCTTGTTGTTTAACATACATGTCCCAATTTCCCGAGCTTTGCTGAACTGTTGCTTGAGGAGGCTGGCTGACATAATTATCCCAATTTACTGAACTTTGCATGCAATTTGCTTCAGTCGGCTGTTTCACGTGATTATTCCAGTTCGTAGGGTATTGCTGACCAGGTGTGTTGCTTGTTTCCCCATCACCCCACCCTGTGGCTGGAACTGGCTTGTTTGTAAATATAAAGGAGTCCCAGCCATCAGGAGCTGTATTATCCCTTTTGGGATAAGAACGCCGCGATTTCTCAAGGTCGGCCACCAATTCAGGATCAACATGTTCATCTTGGTTAACCATGTCAATATACATGTTTGGGTCAGGTAACGGGATATCACAAGGTTGGCCATGGTATACAGCACAGAAACGAGCTTTTGCATCGTTGAAAGTTTCTAATGCAGCTGAATCATCCCAGTCAACCACATTTTTGTACAATGACATCAATTTCTTGGTTTCACAGAGTTTACCCCATGGGATTGCACAAGCATCAGTGCAAAATTTCTTTTCCCACAATGGAACTGAGAAATTTCCATTTCCTGAAAATCACATACACACCATTCTTACATAATAAGTATTAATATATTATGACTTGTGAGCGGCAGAAAATAATATCCTTGTTCCTAGAGTGATAGCAGCACAGTACTACGATGTAAAAACACTGACAAGGAAACATAATGAGAATATGACCGGAAAGAGTGACAGGAGGAAACAATAAAATATTTTTTTTCTTAAATCCTAGCAAAATAATGTGAGCCGATTCATGGTTAGGATAACCTGGGTTGCATATTTAGAACTAAATTGGGATTGTCTGCTAGCTGACCTGTGTCTTTAACATTAAATGCAGTTCTCTCATAAATGAGTGCAGAATATGGGGTGATCGCACATCAAATTTCGTCACATTTTTTAAACTCTGACGCATCACGGGACAATGCACAAACCGTAGGGTTATGTTATAAAATAATCAATTGTTAGAAAAGATCCAGTATGCTAAAGAGTAAAAGTATGTAACCAATACCGCGTTTAAGTGAAATAAAAAATTGCCATCATAGCTATACATAAATCCATCAGAAATTCAGAATGATGCATATTAAACAAATGCAACACAACACATGCAGTGAATTTTCTCAGTACATATGAGTTTTGCCGGACCGGGCAACGACTAGGCCGGCCAAATAGTACATATGATTAACATTAAGTCCACAAAAAAAAATATCAGACTAGCAAAGCAAGCAATAATAAAAGCAATCCGTATCTCCTCCGTCATTTTCATAGCAGAGTTCAATCCCCCGAGAGAATGTACTTACCCCATCGGGGTACTGCACACAAATCACCAAAAGGGCATGCATGCTACCTACATGATGTTACTACCGACCAAGTCAACTTTGCCCAAAATGTTACCGCGTCGCAACATTGCCAAGAACAAATGAAGTCATGGGAACGAGGGAAAGCTCCCCTCCCAAAGTCCCAATCCAGACATATTTCTTCCCTTCCCAGCTCATTTCTAAAATCCCCCATCATCAACCATGAACCACGAAGCCCGCACAAAACAACGCAAAAAAAAAGAAAATAAAAAATCGCTGAAACAATATCAAACGAGCAAGATGAGTACAGGTTAGGAAGACGAACCGTGAGAGCGCGGTGGCCTCCAATACCTTCCCTGCTCGCCGCCCCCTCTGTCCCTGTAGCCGGACCGCCTCTCCCCCATGGAAGACGCCGCCGCGAGAGCCCGAACCACCACCTCACCAAGGCTCCCTCAACACCACGGATTACCCTCCACCGTCCACGCCCCTTGGCCTCCGGCTCCGGGGCCAGCCGCTCCACGACGGAACGGAACCCCCGCGGCGCGGCAAAGAACCGCGCGAAGGGGAGGGGAGGGGAGGGAACGAACGAGGCGATCCGATAAAAACGCGAACCCCGAACGGCCGCGCCCGATTGAAAGGCGGGGGGGTCAAGGAGAGCGAGGAGGTTAAGCGGAAGCGGCGGCGGAGGCGGAGGCGGTTTGGGGTGCCGTCGTTGGTTTCGCAGCCGGAGAGAGAGGAGACCCCGGGGAGGGGATTAAAGAGGAGAAAAAGAGAGGAGACCTCGTGGGACGGCCGGTTTTGAGGTGTCAGTCAGCGGGAGAGTCTCCGAGACGGAGTCTGTGCACGACCGCACGCAGGAATTTCACCATGTGCTTTTTCTACCCGCTTTTATCGGAGTACAGCACTCCCTCCGTCTCATAATATAAGAGATTTTAAGTTTTTATCTGTACTATTTGACCACTCATATTATTTAAAAAATTTTAAAATTATTATTTATTTTTTTACTTATTTTATTATCTAAAGTATTTTAAGTATAATTTTTCGTTTTTTATATTTGCACAAATTTTTTTAATAAGACAAGTGGTCAAATAGCGCAAACAAAAACTCAAAATCGCTTATATTATGTGACGGGGGAGTACTGTAGTAGTAATATCCTATCAGTTCGATCTGGCGTTTTAGATTTTGTTTAAGGTTTTCCTTTGGATAACGATGGTTTTGATTGACTTCAATATTTAAGCATTGATTGATTGATTGATGGGGGAAGTATATTTCCTAATTAGTAATGTAATGAGAGGGGGGATTGTTTTTTAATCCCCTCGGCGAATATGCCTTAAAATTAATTTGCACAGCCATCATGCCCATTTGGTTAGAGACTTAGAGCTGGATCATATGGGGGATCATATTGCAGTTTTAAAAGTGAATCTATATTGTGAGATGAACTTTGTTTTTCTTCTTTTGGATTTGGAAATTAATAAATCGGGAAAACACTCGACTTGAGATTGCACGGAGGGTAGAACTTGGTACTCCCCCTTCCTATCCTAAAGCTGTGTTTAGTTTACACTGAAGTTTGAAAATTTGGTTAAAATTGGTACGATGCGATAGAAAAGTTGTGTGTGTATGAAATGTTTGATGTGATGGAAAGTTGGAATTTTGGAAAAAAAAACTTGGGAACTAAACAGGGCCTAAATACGGAGTAATTTGTACGCGCATGATTCGAGTTTTAACTGATTGTTTGTATTTTTTTCAGACATTTTATTAACACTCAAAAATATATTATATTATTGATGTATGTGGCATTATAAATATAACCAAACAACTTTAATTCATCATAATATAACATTTCAAACGTAATTTATAGTTAAAGTGAGATAACCATAATCAACTATGCCAATTATTTGAGAATAGTAAAGTATTTATTAATTAATTTCATGTTTTAAACCATGAAAAGAACAAAATTGAGACTATAGGCCAAATCCAACCTTTTATTCAAACCATTGGAATTACTTGATCAATAAAACTAAATAAAAAATGCAGGCCTATTTATACTTTAACTTCAAAATTTTGGAATTATTAAATCAAAATATATATTTAATTAAGAAGGTTGGCACATATTTGTTTTATTAAGTTTTAATTTAAAACATAGAATACAAATTGATCCATACGTGAATACACATAAAATCAAATCAATTATTAGAAAATATTAGTTTTTTTCTAAAATATATATGCATAAATTAATTTTAAAGTAGCACTTTATACAACCAAAATCCAAAACCGAATTCAAAAGCCTTGAAAAAGAAATCCATAAATTAATTGTCCTTAGCGACGGAGCCATCTCCCACCAGGTTGGACGGCTACCCGGGCTGCCGCTACAGTCTTCTCTACATATAATCGTCGATCACCAAAAAGATATTGTTTTTTAGGGAACAAAAGATATTATTAGTCGCTCGAGTTTAACAATGACGTTTGGCTCTGCCGCCGATTATACTTATGCATTTCATTATTAGGATTATAAACTTGAGTTTATCTCGAGGCCTCAATTTTTCTCCTGGTGTATGGGCAATTGGGCACTAGCTTCATTTTCCCAATGACGGTAGGATTGACACGACGAAAACCTATGTGACCAATTTCCTATTCTCGGTGGACTAGATGACCTGTTCCATTTGGCTTACGCTGGTCAGAGTCGGAAGGTACAAAATGTACAATTGATGAATTGATATGGGCGATCAAATAAAAACAAACAGGAGCCATGTGTGTCGTACTGCTATTCGAGTAGGGGTGTACTTCCATGCACAGACACCCAAGTAGTTGAAAGGAGGACTAGTAGTACGGTGGGTTACTGTGGACATGTTTGGAGGAGTTTTTAGGTGTTGCAGCTCCTTCTAGAGAATCTCTATATCCCAAATAGTTCAGATTGTCACCCAGATTCTGAAAATCTATAGTTGTAGAATTCAGAAGCTAGAAAACTCAGCTTTTCCAGATTCTCACAAGCTGGCTACCAACTAGCAGATTCTCAGAATCTCAAGCTCCCCCAAACAGAACATATATATTTTTTTTGAAAGAACCACGGTAGGGGAAGCCCCCACCGTTAAGATTTTATATTAATAAAGGGGAAAAAATTACAACAAATTTAATCACTGTAACAATGTATCTCTCTCAGAATTTTTTGACTCTATGAACTAAAAGGGAGAGATCATTCCTAAAGAGAACTCTCCAAGAGGGAACAGAGGGAACAATGTTTTCAAAAATCAAACTATTCCTCTGCTTCCAAATGTTCCAAGCAGCATAAAGCACCTTCTCAACAAAATGGGTAGAGTTATATGAATTTCTGGCCATGACCAACATTTCACCAAAGCTTAAAGAAAGATTCCAAACCACACCAAATTGCGCCCAACATTGAGTGCTCCTCGAAATCGAAGAAAATCTACAGGCATGTAGTATTGGGCTAGCTAACCTCTTAAGAGTTTAATAGTACAGCCAACTGTTGGCTCCAAATCATCTATAGCTAATCTAATAGTCCATTAATACAGTAGCTAACTATAAAAATATACTACACCGTTAATACACGTGTTAACAACCAAATTTGGTAATATCGGCATCGGGAAAGAAGATTAGATCGAAGCAAAGTCGGAGGCGGAGATCGAGTTCGAAAACAGAGCAGAAATCAGCTGGAGTCCAGATCGGCTACGATTAGGATCGGCTGGGTCTGAGTCGGGCTAGGCAAGCCGATGCAGCCGATTCCGACAATGCAACTTGATGTATGACATCGGGTTAAATTGAGGTGCTTCAAGATGATTGCCGCACATGGATAGAGTCCTGAGAAGGCAATTGTATCTATTAATTAGGGTGTTTTATGTAATTTCCTTAGAGATATGCTTGGGCAAAAGTCTGTCGCAAAGGCTTATGGTATCTTAGAGTTTGTTAGAGATAGTTGTTGTGTCCGTTATGGACATATCTTGTAATTTTCGGGTATAAATAGACCCGAGCCCTATGTAACTTTTAACACACACGTTCAATACAATCTCGGTGCATCGCCACCTTTTTGCTTTAGTTTTATTTCGACGAGTTCTTGCTTTCGGGTTGAGCTGCATCGGTTTTGATCTTCAACAAGAGGTAAAACTTGTTATGATGAATTATGTTCTCGGGATTAGTACTTCCATCTTTATGATACTCTAATCTTGTCTATGTAATTCGTCAAGTTATCATATATCTTACATAATCTTCGACAATATCGTCATCTAACCTACAATCGGCTAACATCTGTTAACAGAAGGCAGACGATTTGGTTAAATAGCGACGTTGACCTAGATTATATAAGATATCTACCACTCTATAAAACTTCCAGCGGCTTAATTGTCTAGATATTGTTCTTCTTTTCATACTTAATGCTGCATCAGTTGAGTTTGATCTCTTAAGTCGTGCTTAGAATATCAATCTCTAGCCTGTACTCTGGTTGCCGATTAGGGTAGTGTCGGAGTTTCAGCCGATCTTACCTGATTTAACTACTTTTTATCCTATATGCTTGATTGACATGTTAAATCTGCTCTTTATGTTAAGATCTTGCTGCATTTAAGTATATTAGGCTTTTGTTTAGTATATTCTACTTGCTTTAATATCTTAATATAGAGTGGTATCGGAGTATTAGCCGATACATGCTAGATCTATCTGATCCGCTATGCTATGAATGTATATAGTCTCATTATTAATATATATTTCGATTTAAGTGATTTATACTGTCTCGGCATGGTGACCGATCTATCCCAATCACTTGATTTAAGTATATATCGATACAAAGATTATATATTGTTAATATCTGCAGCCGATCGAGTAGATTTAGTCCCTTCTTATTTATTAATGACTGCCGATCGATGTATATATGACATCGGCTCAAAGATAAATGATATGTCATCGGCACCTAGCCGATCGCCTATCATTTATAGATTTAAATGCGGTTTCTTTGCTTCTATTTCTTGTTTATTACAGGATCAAATCAACTGGCACGCTCATACATTCGAAGGCGAGCTTTGGACCTGTACTGGATTTAAGCAGATCTCCCAGGCCTCGTGTTTTCTGTCAACAACACGGTCCCACCTCTCATACACACACAACGTCTTGGAGTCTGTGTTGCAGCCGGCTACAAATCTGTAGCCCGTTTTCTTCTCACTTCTCTTTTCTTCTCGATACGTGGTTATAGCTGGCTTATAGCTTACTATTGTACCTGCTCTAAGAGCATCTCCAACAGCCTCTCCAAATCGGACTATCCAAACACCCATATAGCCAGCTCTCCAATTGATTTGTCAAGCCAAACTTATTCCTCACTCTAACAGTCTCTTCATCTACACTCTCCATTATAAGCCTATGGCACTGGCGTCAACCTCTACTACACCTTCTTCCTCCTCTTTCTCTCCCTCTTCCTCTTCTCTCGGTCCTCTTCCCGGGCGAAGTGCGACAGAGACCGCGTAGAGGCTGGCGACGACAGCGGCGGCTCTATGCGACGACCTCGACAACGGCGACCTCGATAGTGGTGCCGGATGGTCGGGGACAGGGGCGGATGTGGCTAGGAGCAGATGCGGTGGCGTGGAAAGGCGGAGAGGAGCGACGCCGACGATGGGAGGGCTGCGGGCGGTCGCGTCGGTGTGGCCGGGCGTGGAGGCAGCAGCGCCAAATGTGGCCAGGGGCGGAGGTGGTGGTGCCGGATGTGGCGGCTCAGCCGGGGGAGCCAGATGAGGTGGGAAGGAGCGACGCCGGAATCCTCGCCGTGGGGAGGGCAGGGGAGGTGCAACACTGGCGCTGGA